AGTGGCTGTCATATGTGAAAGGATATTCAAATGGCACCACATTCTTTTGGCCATGTGGTTGCAAGTTGGTCAATCCCTACAGAGGTATTAGCTGAAGAAGTTTAGTCAAATGGCATCAGAAGACACTCTTGGAATGTAACCTTAAAGTATTACCTTTGTATGGTCCAAACATAAGTAGAGCAGATGCAGAGTAAGAGGACAGGCTACTATTAAAGAAGCAGAGTGAACATTATGAATGAATAATTATTTGTAGTAATAATAAAAGAAATCACATTTATTCTTTTTGGGGGAAATCAAGATAACTAGAAAGGACATATTGAATGGAAGGATAAGAGAAAAGAGGGAATTGAAGGGAAGAAGATGAAGTAGATATAATATAGTGAGAAAGAGCCTAAGGGAGTGAAAACATAAAGGCAGAGAAAGTATATTTAAAACCTCAGAAATGTCTCCAGACATCCCTGTTCTGATGTGTTCTCAAGCCACCCAGAGGCTTAATCCTTTGACCCGTGTCTTTCACACCAAGATGACAGGACAGTGGAAAGGGAAGCGAAGTGTCTCTGATAGACCTGTTTTTGACCTCTGTGTGTGGTGGTCTCTAACCATAATGAAATATTGGTGCATTCTTAAACTGGTCATGTTGTTATTTTAGTTTTGGAATGTGTAAGCTCAGTGATGAGGGTTACAACCAAATACAGAGTTCTTTCCTTTTAGAAACAGAACTTTTGGGTTTTTTTGTCTTTTGACAGGTCCTTGGAGCACATCCAAACTATCCAAAGATTAGAAAGGAAATACTTGACAAGGCCCGTGCTTCACTAAGAACCTGAATGTTTGGGGTTTTTTATGACTCATGGACTTTTGTTTAATCAGACTTTGGAAGCTATGAATGAAATGCTGCAGTGACAGAGGCCATATCAGCACAAAAGTATTGTGAATATGATGAATTTAATTATATTAGAGATCTGAATTATTTCAGGAGAAGTCTGTAACCCTGAAAGAAATTGTTTTGTTTCTCATTCAGGAAAGAATTGTACTCCTATGTATGTTATATAAAGTGACCATAAAAAAGCGTTATCAGCATTATAAAATTGTTTTAAAGGTTGTATCTCAGTATTTTGTTTTGTTTATTTGAAATAGCATGCAAAATAACAACCTTATCTAGTGGAGATGCATTGTTAAGGTGCTGGATTTCAGTTTGTGTAAACCATTACTTTATAATTACAGTGTAATCTTTATTCTACAGGTGTATTTCTAAAAGTTATGGGGTCTTTTTTTCTACATATAATAAAGTCGTGCTTTATTTTTTTTTAATCTTGAAAAAACAGATATGTGCATTGTTCTCAGTGAAATATACATTTTTTAATGAAAATGTAATAGTTAAAATTAAAATCCTATGTAAATATTCAGTAAAGACTTTTATAGATCATGCAAGTCTTACATGGCATTTACTTTCTACTCACAGTGTCTGTTATCATTATCCATCTGTTAGATTTCTGTGAAATGTCCTTAATTTGCAGTGCTTAGTCTTTCAGCATTGTATGTGTAGACAATACAGTCATATGTGCAGAAATTAACACTCCATATTAATTAATGCACTCCATATATTAATCCATATAAACCACCTTTTTAGAGAAATAATTTTTATTAGAGGGGATTATGATTTTGTCTCGCATACAGAATATACCTGTGGATCTTTAAGGGACCAATAGCATGTCATGAGTGAGAGGAAGGAGAAGGATCACATTGTTTTCACTGATGCAGAATTTTTGAAAAAAATAATGCCTTACAAAACCTACTGTTGTACTGCTGCATTTGGTTTTCAAATAGCACTTTTTGTTGTATGTATCTTACTAGAAAAGTAATGTTTTGGCATGAAAAGGGAATTCTTAATGCTAGTGATTAAGTTTTATTTTATAAGCAATTTCAGTTTCCTCCTCAGCTGACTTCAGCTTCTCCTGTTGACATTGTGTAAAGTCACTTTCTCTGGTTTCTTTTTATGACAACTGAATGTTAAGGCTACAAAAGGGAGCCTGTTTATAATCTTTTTTAATCTTGCTTATCAATACCTGGGTGCTGTATCTTGGGTAACTTGATAGTCTTGTTTCCTGAATACATGGATGTGCATCACTTACAGAGTGATGCTGCCTGCTGGTGTTTGCAGTTTGTTTTAGAGTAAAAATAGGTGGGTTTATATTAATACATGCAAGATGTTTTCAAAAAAGGCAAGACATCTGCATCTACGTTTTTCTCATAAGATGGACATTAGCCCTTCATAAGATGGGTGTGACAGTTTAAGTCATGACAGTGATAAGATAAAGAAATTAGTTGATAGAAATTGAACTGAGACTTTCAGCTTTCTGTGGCTAACTTCTGGTGAAGAGTTTTATGATAAACCTACATGCAGGTAAAAGACTTCTAAATCCCCATTAGCTGTCTTGAGCATATATAGGCGCTGGTGTCTTTATAGATAAAGTCTTTAAAAGAAGAGTGTAAATGAGAGATATCTTTGGATTTCAATTAAAAAAAAAGGTGGCTGTAAGTAGTCCTTCAGAGAAAATCTTGCTTTAATATAGTATTCTCGGAAGAAATTAGTGTCCTTTCCATATCCCTTTTGGTTTACACAAGCCAATTTAAGTTTTTCCATGCTTACCTTTTTTTTTTTTTACTTTCTCTGCAGAAGGAGTGGCTTTGGGCCATTTCTCTTTACTGCAACTAATTGAAAGTGTTAATTCAGCTTTCTCTCTGCTTTTACAGTTTCTTATTTTAAAAAATGCATGTTCTGGTGGTTTGGTGGGGGGTTATAGCCCTTTTCTTAATAAATGGGTTTGAATGGAAGAGACTTCTGGGATGGAGGGGAGTCAGTAATGCTAATTTCAAAGCACTGCACTCTTTAGTGTGATGTTGCTTAGCAACCCATCTTCCAGTTTTGCCTTTGATGAATAAAAGAGGAGAGTGAAGCTCTGGTTTCTATTGATTCATTCACTGAAACTGAAAATCTAAGCATCTTGTAGCTATGGTAACATAAGCCATAGGTGTCTCTTCCTCTTCTCTCTTGCCCCCCTTTTACTTGCAGGTAGAGAAGGCCTAGAATATATTCTGGAGAGTATGTAAAGACTGTTGATAACTGTTCTAAATAATAATTCTTTTTTAATTTGGCGCTGCTTTTCTCACATTTGTACCAATACCATAGAGGATGGTCTAGGAAGTATCGTTAGGCAAAGTAATTGATATGAGTAGCTAAAAATAACTAGTAAGACTCTAAAATACAACTAGAGTAAAAGGAATTTGAAAGCTTTTTCCCATTTTTGGACTAGGTTTTACTACTGCAAATAATTTCTCAAATGTAGTGTAGCTACAGCAGTTTTTAGAAAGGCTATAGACTTTCTAAAATCAGGCAGCTCTGGTTTAGTAAACTAAACTTTAATCTCATTATTCATTAGATGAGTGAGTAGTTTATTTACAAACACAATACTTTAAATGGAGTTTGTAACATTAGAGAATTTGCTGAAAATTTTCTGAACTAATTATCTTTGAAATTGGTCCAGGAGACATTTCAGGGAAGTCTCAATAGTGGGAGTAGATTCTGGCTCTTCAGAAGCTGATGATAGAGAGCTCATTAGTGTGTTCCATATACAATGCTGAACAGGGAGAAAAGAAATTAAGGAAGTATTTCATTAGCAAGTAGTTCTCCATCAGCTTGTGACTATGCCACTTTTCAAAGATCACAACAGTGATTTCGCTACCTGGCTTTATTTGCTCAGTGGTTTTACCTCTTGCTTCATCTTGCAATGAAATCAGAACCCTTTGTTGTTTGAAACATTGACCTGCCTTAAAATGTTGAGAATTGGACCATTACGGCAAAAATCACATGCTTTTATCTTTGCCCTGTTGTTGCTAATTATGTGACATGGTGCTTGCTAGAAAAGGAGCTAAGTGAACTGTCTGAGTCTTGTTCTGAAGTTATTTTTTGTTGTTGTTCTTGATGTTTGGTTGGGATTGTGGTGGTTTGTTTTTTGTTTTGTTTTGTTTTTTTTAGGAGTCATTATGCCTGTTAATGCAGGCTTTATTCTGGAAAACAGCATCTTTTGAAATGTTCACACTAGAAATTTGCCTTTAATTATGTGCTATTAAAGTTGAATAGCTGTGTGTGTTTCAGGTGATACAGCTACAGTTCAGGCCTCAATTTTCAAAGGCGTAAGGAAGGATTTTAACAAGCTATAAATACCAGAACACATTAATTGTGATAGATGCTGGTTTAAATTTTATTAAGTGTTCCTGGGCAATATTAATTAATTTGTAAAAAACCTGGTATTGACATTTTTGTTACTGCTATAGAATCAGTATAACTACTGCCAATTGCCCATGTAGTTGCTGAGCTTATGTCATGTTACCTGCAGTTCAGCAGTGAGAGAATGAAGCTTTGAAGTCCTGGGCTGGGACAGTGATTTGAGAATAGGAAGAAGGGAAAGCTCTACACTCCATTAAGGGAGTGCAAATAGTACTTTATTCTTTTTTTTTCTCCCGTAAATTAAACCATGCTTCAATAGAGAAGAGATTTTGCATCTGTCTCTCAGGGAAAGCGCATTGTGAAGAGAGGGAGCTCAGTGTGATATCCCTTCTCCGATCTGTGATCTCACCTCTGAGGGATTTTGTGTTCTGTTTCCCAGCAACATGAGCTGGGGAGCGCTTGGTCAACCACGTCTTGCACCACATCGCGCTTCGGTGGCTGAAGCAAGACCTGCAGCCCCCGCCGTGACGCTCGAACTGCGCTCCGCGGTTCGGACGGTGACGCGCGCACCGCTGCGGGGCGCGTTGTGTCACTGTGCCAAAAGGGCCGCGTCCCGAGGGAGCGAGAGGAGAACAAGGGAGCGGGGAAGGGGCTTGTGGCGGGCGGCCCCCGCTCCCGCACCCCTCCCGCCGCCCTTGTCCTTCACGGCCCTCACACCGCCCCCTCCCCGCCGGCGGCGCCTCGCGCACCTGGCGCCAGGTGAGGGCGGGGCGCGGGCGCGCAGGCGCGAGCCGCTGGCGCGCACCTGGCGGGCGCGGGGCGGAAGCCGCAGAGCCCGCCCGGCTCCGGCCTCCCGGGGCTCCCGGTGATCCCGGTGATCCCGGTGCCCGCGGCCGCTCGCGCGGCAGCGCCTTCGCCTTCCTCCCGCCGGACGAGGTGAGTGGGGCAGTTGCGGGAGCCCCCGCGCGGCTCCGCTCCCCCTTGGCCTCTCCGCGGGCTGTGGCCGGCGGCGGGGCAGCGCCTGGTGCCGCTTCGCGTCCGTTCGCCGCCGCTTGTGCGGGCGCGGGGCTCGGCGGGCGGGCGAGCGGGCGGGCGGGAGCCGTGACGCGAGGGAGCGGTCCCGGGGCGGCAGCGGTCCCGGGGCGGGCGCGGGGCTGGGGCTGGGGCTGCCCCGGGGTGCCCCCTCAGGCGCCCCTCGGCGCGCACTCCCCACGCGCGGTGCCCTCGGAGCCCCCCGAGGCCGCAGCGCCGGGGCCCTTCCCTGGAACGGCCCAGCCCAGCCCTGCGAGCCCTGCCCGGGGCCGGGACAGCCCCGCCAGCCCCGCTCCGGGACAGCGGGGAGTGGGCGAGGAGCCCAGGCTGCTGCCCGGGCAAACGGGTCTCCGGGGAGCGCCGGGCGGATGCGCTGGAGGTATTGACCGAGGGAGGTGTCTCCTGCCACGTACGGATCCCGCCCAAGGGTTTGCCCACAGTACCGCATTCATTCCAGAGCAGCAGGGTGGTAGTTTCATTGTGTACATTGCCAGCTAACTCTAGGATAGTTCATCCTGCACGAAGCGCTTTTGAAAAGTTACCAGATTGCCTCTTTTCCCCGGCACTTTGTTAGTCTTCTACACAGCGAGTGGCAATACTTCGAGAATATTTTCTGGGGTCTGGAGATAGGGGAAGTGTATTTTAACATTAATAACCTTAGTGCCATGGATTTTTATTTTTTTTTTTAACTTTGTGTAAAGTATTCTTGCACAAAGAAGAATTTATGGATAAACTTTTTCATTTGTTAAATAAAAAAATCTTACTGTAAATATGAATGTTATATACACATCTCAGTAGTACTTTACATGTTAGTTTTCTGTAACAAAACAAACTCTTTTGTTTAAAAAAATACAAATTACATTGATCTACTCAGTTTTGACTAAAGCCAGTGTTAACGCTGCTGAGCTGACAGAGTTAAAGACTGAGACAAAACAGCCAACTTTATGGGGTTTGGTTTCCTTTTTTAGCTAGGTTTGCTCAGTGGTCTGGTCAGTTTGGCATCTGCTACTGTCATCTAAAGGCTTCTCAATAACAGAGCAAAGTAAAAATTAAGTTGGTTACAGAGAGCCTGAATTACTGTTTTTGTTGCACTGTGGGAAGGAGCAGAAGACCAGTTTTCCTTGTAATTGCTATTGCCACTTAACTTTGCGCCTTTTTGGGGGCTGGGTAGTTACCAGAGGCAACCCAGGATATCTTGACCTCTGTTAAAATAAGAACAAGATATAATTGCCCTTTCTGTGACATTCCCCCAGAGTCTGTAGCTCCAGGTGACATATCATGCTGCTTTGACATGGTTTTTTTTGCTGTGTGTAAGTTTTGCTGCCTGGTTGATGTGTTCCAAGAGCTGTATCTAGTGCAGGCTTTCCCCTTTCTTTGGAATCAGTGTTGAGAATCACGTTCATGGTATGAACTGTTGCTCAGTTGCCTGCCAGCACTGATGAGTTTCTCATCCCAATCTGCTCATTGCTGATTTTGATTTGAAAGTGGCTCAAGTTTCTAGGCCAAGAAGTGCTAGGTTTTGTCCATTCATGTAAAGCATGAATTTATTCACTTGCTGTTACCACTGATTTTTTTCCTAACACTCACTGATATCATGTGCCATGGGCAATAGTTCATCTGACAAACAGAGAAATCATATCACAAAACTACTGACAGTGACTTCACAATTCCATAGTCAAATGATTAACTTGAGGGCACTAAGGTTATTCAGCAGTGAAATGTAGCTGGAAAATAAACACTGAAGTGGGAAGAGCAGGAAAGCAAAGACACCTTTGGGAGATTCTGACAAAGATTAGTTTAGCAGTCACTGACCCAATAAATCTCAGTAAATCTCCCATGAGGAGACTCTCTTTACTTTACACTTATCACTTCGGCAAGAGTTTAAGGCCAGTTGGAAAACTGTGATTTCAAGACCTGCACTTGATACTCCAATGCTTTTGTTATCTTAGAAGCATTACTACAATCAGGAAAACAAATAAAGTTCCCTTGGTTATTATCCAGACATTATCTTCTGGTGCTTAAATGACAATCAAACACTAATCCTTCTAAGATAAAACAGCACTTTACAGCTGCTATCATGCTCACTTGTCATAACGGCATTTTTAGGGACAGTCTAAAATTATTTTAACAGAGGCCCAAACGAATCTCACCCAGAAAAAAAAGGTAAGATACGGAGTTGAGTGAAATTTAAATTTACATATCCCAGGTCTTTACCTCATATACAGTCCCATGTCTGTAAAAATAAAACATAAATATTTTTAGAGTATACGGTTACTGTATATTTTTAATATGCTATTGGTTGTCAGAGAGAACTGCCTATCATATACAGTATTTGGCTGTAGAAAATAGTGTTAGTGCTCATTTTGAAAGACCATGTGATAGTTTGAATTTGAAACACTTCCATTAGAATACATAGAAAGTTTGGTGATGATTTTTGGGGGTTTTTTTCCCCATTTTTTTTTTGATCTCAAAGAAACTGCTGAAGGAGATAATTGACCACTGGTATTCCAGCAAGTTGTTTCAGTGCTGCTGTTGCTCAGAATTTCTTCAGCCTTCTGTGTGATCATCCATTTACAGCTTCTCATTTCTGTGTAATAATCAGTGTGGCAGATTACATCCAGCATTTGCTAGAATAATTTGTGCTCTCAGTGTTTCTAAAAGAAAGGCTCAGGAACTGAATACATTCAGTATTCCTCCTTCAATTTTTTTTGAGGAGGAGAACCACATTTCCAGTGGCTGAGCTTCAAAGAATGTACCCCGAGGAACAGCACCTGGGGCTTGTGAATCTCTGTTTCTTTTAGGTATGTGTACCCTATCTAGGAGTGTGTTCTTAGTGGAACAGATAAGCAATTGTCTTTTGTTGCAATTGTGGAGATAGAAACTAGTCGGCTGATTCTGTTTCTCCTTTTTGCATATGAAGCTATAGTCTTTCACTTCTCTACAGCTCATTTTATTATTTGTTTATTTAGGTCAAGGGCTAATATGCTTGTAAACAGTAGCATAGTTTGCTGGACTGAAGCAACTTTTTTAATTTTCCCTGATTTCTGAAGTGCTTTTGAATGTTTTTGATTGTATGAAGAGCCTTCATATTCCATGTTAAGGTAAACGTGTATGAAAAGTTCACTCCAAATTGGATGTTTCTTAGTCTGTCACAAAAGGTGCTTGTGTGAATGGGTGTTTCTCTAGGATGTACTTCCAGGAAGTGGAGACGGTTCTGTTCAGTGATTTATTTATTTTTTTTGCTGGTAGAAAAACCCTACCATTTCCATGGTGGTAGAAGATGAAAATATAATATACCAAACTGATTATTTCAGTAACTAATGTTTTAGTAATATCTACATTGATATTCATACAAAAAAACCTGTCTGGAATGTTAGATTCAGAAATACCAGTGATGAAAGTAGCACTTCTTACAGGTAAAGTATCCTGAAGTATCTTTGTCAGAGTTTTGCTAATTTGGAGAGGACGGTTGATCATGAGTGTCAGGTCTTGTTTTTCCTAAAGAATTTGCTGTGTTTCTATTCACACACCCACCTTCTGATTAAAGGGACATTAGGGTTTGATGAAGGGATTGTATACATTGATAACAAAGGAAAATAAATAAGCTGTAATTACAGAGGAATTAGAATAAGTTGAAGCAAAGTTATGTAGTTAAATAGTTTTGATTAGAATAGTTCTGAAGCATTTTTCCTATTTTCCCTTTTTTAGTTTTTTTTAAGTATTTTTAGTATTTTTTTACTTAGTGGTTTTTTTAGGGGTTTTTATGTTCTATAAGCAGCATTGTCAGGAAACATTTGAAACCTGTGTAATATTAAGATTTAAAAAGAAGTAGATTTTAAAATAGTTTTATTAAAAACTGTGGTCAAGTGTATTGTTGATACTAACCTCAATAAATTTTGCCTCACTGGCATGGTCTGAAAGAACTTCTGTTGATTTGGTTTATATTGACACTTTCATTTTTTTATACAAAAACATTATTGTCTGCAATGTTGTTCAGACCAGGCTAACAAAAAAAGCAGAGTTGTCTCCACGTTGGCTACAGCAGGGAGGCTTTCTTCTAAGTAAGAGATTTTGCAGACAGTCTGACATCAGTGTTAGTGGGTGGCATAATGTAACATAGACTGCATTGAATTCACACACTACCCATGTGATGTGGTTTGAAGCAGTGTGGCAGCTGCTTTTTGGCACTTTTAGAAGACTTTTGTAGTACATATTAGTTTTCTGGTTATTTTCTTCTTAAAAAAAAAAAAAAAACAAACACCCCCCTTCCCCCCCCCAAAACTTCTAATGTTTAAGGCTAGTTATTTCAAAGTGCTTTAAGAATCCAGACTGCTATTAGTGAAAATAACACTAATGAATAGAAGATTAAACACTTTGCTAAACAGTCACCCCAGGGAGTTTAATCATGCCACATAGTTCTTCAGCGTGTCCTGGAAGATTGAACGGTAGCTTGGTCTGTGTTTACTGACATCGCTGTGCGATGAAAATGTGAGAAGAATTTGTGGGGAATAAAGATTGTATTTCTGACTACAAAATTATCCTGGTAAAAACCCTAAGTAAGATACAGCTTTCATGGCAAAAGTTCTTCAGACAATGTAGCTTCTGTTCTGGAAAATGCTACTATTTTGTGCGACAGAGGGCTCTTCTCTAATTGTAAGCAATATCCCTGTCAGATATTTTGTTAACAAAACTGCACTCAGCATTTGTCTGTATCAGAAGGTTTTGCTGTATGTTTGTGGCAAATGACCCTCTGTCTACTTCATCTCTGCTGCACATGCTGTCCCAAAGCTGTCACTCGATCCTTCCTGTAAAAAAGAAACATCACTTGCACTTGTTCCTGTGCACGTCCTGCCTGCCATGTGTGCTGCTGCAGTGTTCTTATCCACACTGAAACGGTTTGTTGCTGTCTGCCACAATACACCTAACACAGGTGAGTTGTCTTTTCATTTCTAGGGACAGACACCTTTCCCCTGAGTGTTGTGGCAGCCTGCTGTAGTTAGACCTGAGCAGCCAAGACAGATGTATCCAATAAAAGGAAATATGTTGTCAAAGAGACGTCCAAGTGTGTGCAAATAACAGTGAATGTAGTAACACAGTACAACAACTGCTGAATGACTTGCTCTTGGTTGCTCACTGTGGAGAGTACTTTAATGACTTATTTGTCTGGAGGCAGATGTATGCAAAACAGGCTGTGCAAGAAATATTCTGGATGAATTTTAGATTTTGGATTTATGGATATCTTAACTTGTGTTAACCACGAGAATTCCGAGGATTTGTATGTGCTTAATTTGTGCAGGAAATAGTCCCAAATGAAAACAACAAGATGTTTAGTTTATGGTTTTGGTAGAACGTACAAATATAGTTTTTATGTTTTGTAAAGATTAGGTTAGTGTTTCAGCATCAAAAGTCTGAAGTATGTCCTAAAAATCTGTGAAAGAAATATTCGGTATTTTCTAGTCCATTTTTCCTTTTTGTTGCTGGAGGCAATGAAGTAAATATAAAACTAGAAAAAGTAATGTCTTAGTGAGCATAAGGTAAGTAAGTCTGACTGTGTTAATTGAAGAACTGAAGATGTTTGGGAATCTGACACTTGCAACTTTAGCTCTGTAAAGTAGTTGTTAAAATAGTTAAAAGGTTTCTTTGGTACTTAGACAGGTAACAGGTACGTAGCCACACTGTATTGTTCCCTTTTGAATAGTCTTAGGCCAGCTCATTAAAACAAAATGAGACAGATGTAAATATTTAACTCAAATATTGATTAAGTTCTCCACTTAAAGCGTGATTTCAGTGTTATACAATCAATGTTGCTATATAGAATTAACTTTAACCTCACTTCTCTTGACATATCTTACACCATCATGTTCATTAAAGGTTAATCTTTTTCTTGCTATGAACAAACTTAAGTTTCTTTACGAAGAGGAAGAGGTCTAGAGGAAGCTGGAGAACATAATTTCATGTTTAATGAGATAAAAGAAATATGAGGACAACAATGTTTGGAAACCAGCTGACAAATGCTAATTCCCTCCCTCCTCATGTGCTTACCTGATTGACTATGCTTAATGACTGCTTATGAGATAAAGAAGTTTTCAAACTTCTCTTCTGACATTATGTACTTAAAATATATATATATATAAGGTGTTTTCCTTTTTTCCATTTGAGGAAGATATATTGCTTATTGATTTCTAAGCTTTAAGATATACTACTACCATATGTGCTTGTGCATGATGCACTGAGAAACAGTAATGTGATTTTGTTTCTGATGGTGTTACAAAAGCATTCCTGATTAGCAACCTGCAGAGGCTGTAGCCCATGCAATGACAGTCTTCTTGCTGGGTGCTAATCTGTACATATGGTCAGTGTTTTACATTGTATATAGCATTTTCATGGCAAGTTGGGGGGTGAGGATGACTGCACAGGTGGCCTCTGTGATAAGAGACCGGGGGCGCTGCTCCCCTTCCCCCCATTCTGGGCTGGACACAGCTGGTTCCAGACAGCTGTAAAATAGACCCACTGTTGGCCAAAGCTGAGCCACCCATGTAGCAGGTGGTGCCTCTGTGATGTGGTATTTCAGAAAGGGTAAAAAATGCTACACAGCAGCTGTGAGAAAGAGGAGTGAGAAAAATGTGAGACCCTGCAGAAACCAAGGTCAGTAAAGAAGGAGGAGACAGCATGCTCCAGCCACTGGAGCAGATATTCCCCCTGCAGCTCATGGAGAAGACTGTGGTGAAGAAGTATTTCTCTACAGCCCATGAAGAACCACCCCAGAGCAGGTATCCACACTGCAGCCTGTGCAAGACCCCATGCCAAAGCAGGTGGATATGCCCTGAAAAAAGCTGCAGCCTCTGGAGAGCCCAGGAGCAAGATTCTTGCCAGGAGTAAGATTCTGGCAGGAACTGTGACCAATGGATGGCCTAATGCTGGAGCAGTTTATGCTGAAGAACTGTACTACACAGAGAGAACCCATGTTGGAGCAGGGGAAAAGTGTGAAGGGGCAGGAGTGGTAGAGATGATATCTTACAAGCTGACCACAGCCCTTATTCTTCATCTCCTCTGCATCACTTGGGAGAAAGGAGACAGAAGAACTGGCAACAAAGGAGTGAAGCTGAGCCAGGGGACGTAGTTTGAGTCTTGGTTTCTCACCATCCTACTCTATTTTTAATTGGCAGTAAATTAAAATTCATCATTACAAGTCTTTCTTCCCTATGACAGTAACTGATAAGTAATCACACTGCCCTTAGCTCAACCCATGTGATTTGCCATGGTAGGGAGAAAATTCGTGCAGCCAAAGTTCAGTTGGAGTTGAAGCTGCCAGAAAGCTGGGGGACGACAAAAAGAGTTTTTCAAAAGCTGGTCGAGGGAAGGGATTGTCCTGCTCTGCTCTGCATTGGGGCAGCCTCACCTCGAATATTGTGGCAGTTTTGGATGCCACATAAGAAAGATTTTTGAGAGTATCCAAAGCTTTTCGAGAGGGCAGCGAAGGTGAAGGGCCCTGAGGAGAAGCTGTGTGAGGAGCAGCTGAAGGCACTTGGTCTGCTCAGCCTGGAGGAGACTGAGGGGAGACCTCATTGCAGTTACAACTTCCTTGTGAGGAGAAGAGGAGGGGCAGGCACTGATCTCTTCTCTGTGGGGACCAGTGACAGGACCTGAGGGAATGGCCTGAAGTTGTGTCAGCAAAGTTTTAGGTTTAATATTACATAGAGGTTCTTCCCCCAGAGGATGGTTGGGTAGTGGGAGAGGCTCCTCAGGGAAGTGGTCACAGCACCAAGCCTGACAAAGTTCAAGAAGTGTTTAGATGATACACTTGGGCACATGGTGTGACTCTTGGGGATGGTCCTGTGCTGGGCTAAGGGTTGGACTCAGTGATCCTTGTGGGTCCCTTCCAAATCAGCATATTCTGTGATTATTTTTTTACCACTGTCATGCTGAGGATGGAAGTGGAGAGAGTGGCTAGGTGGGTGTCTGGCAGCCAGTCAAAATCAACCCGCCAGATATGGTGAGAAAACAAGACATTTTTCAATCTTGCAGTTTGGTAAATTGGTTGCAATCCTTTCATCAGGAAAGAAAGTTTAATTCTTAGTCTTACAGTATATAGCTACTGGTATTGTAGTGCAACTTTTTCAGTACTAAAGAAAAATGGAAAAATAATATGTGAGTCAGAAGTGGACTGATTTTGTGGTTTTGTTTTGGTTTTCTTCTAAATTTTGTGAGTTGTGAAGCACATTTTTGGTACCTTTTAGTATCTCTGGCAATGATGTAATAAGCTCCCCTCTGCATTCTTTTAACAATAACTCTATGGTAAAAGTACTGTAGTTTGAATGTATGAGTTTATTAAGCTGACACAAGCTCTGAAATACAGTATAATGTGAAGAAATCCAGATGTTTAATTTCTCCTACAAATTCTTAAAGGAAACCAGGTAGAGTGGTGTTTTTTTTGTTTTGTTTTCTCTGACTTATGTCTCTTCCTGAGTATATGTTGTTATTATATATTAAGAAATGCAGAATCTACTTGTATTTCAAAGAAATAAATAGAAAAGCAGTTTTTCTCACTTTTGTGGTCAGTAGTTATCACATGGGAACTAACTGTGGCTTTTAGTTAGATGCTGTTTATTTCTTTTCTCGGATCACATATGTGCAATTTGGACAAAAATGAAGCTGTTTCTTGAATTCAGGCTGGTTTCTATATTTCCCCCTCTTGTAAACTGCCAGTTTTGCAGAGAGAATTTAATTCAAATCACTTAGATTTTTGTAGTCCTCAAATGTTTTTCATAGTTTCATCTTTGAAAGCCACTGAATATGGCTTTCACTTGTCTGTGAAAAAAAACGTGGCAGAGTTCCTGAAAGACGAGAACTCTTTGGCATGTTCTCATGATGAGCTGCAGCAGCACATGCCAGAAAATGCAGCACAGGTGAATGAAAAAATATACAGAATGATTACTTGATCCACAGGCTAAATTATCCTACTCCAATTTACCTGTATCAAGTCTGCATTGAACACGTATACTAGATAACTGAATGAATCTAAGAATTTCCCACTTGAAGTCTGATTGCTTAAGAGTGATCCTGAAGTAGATTTTTTTAAAAAATATTGGAAACTGTCAAATTGTTAAGATATGTTGATTGAGAAGTCTTTCCTGTCCTTGTATTTCACTTTTTGTGTGGCTCTCTCTTTAATGTGAACTTGAACCTATGTATTGATTCCACCTGTTTTTGTTCTATCCCATCACTGAACTAAAATTCACTACTTCTAGAAGAATTTAAACAACACTTTCTTCCAATTTTAAACAATCGAATTGAAAGAAAATGAATGTGAAGTATTGGCACTGTGTAGAAACAGTGTTTTATTCTTAGTGGTATGCCTGATTTCTGGTTCATCTATTTGAAGTGTATTTAAAAATAAAACCCAAAACAAAAAACAGGGAAAGGGCATTTTGGGTATCTTATAGATAGCTGTGATGATATTTAAGTGATGTAGCACACATAACATTTGACATTTGGGAGTTGTGAATTAAATCTTCCCCATTAATTTCTTGTGGCTTTACATTGTTGAATATACTAGATGCCTAAATTAATACTCTTTGGTTTAATTCACAGGTATTATAATTCCAAGAAATGCTGTGACCTGTTTGAAGAACACACTCACAGAAAGTTGTTGTGTGAAATTTTTTAAAACTAGAATGGCCTTGAAAAAAACACACAAACTATTCAAGACACTTTTTCACTGGAAACTTTGGAAGTTTAGCATTATTGTGTTTGTCTTTTTGGTATTTTTATTTTTATTGCAAAGAGAAGTGGGTGTTCAAGATTTTAAAGATGAAGCAGGAATTGAGCCAGTTGTTGGAAAGAAAAGTCATGTATTAGGTCTTGTGTTAAATGCTATGAACAATATCAAAGGTGCAAAGCCAAAAATGCAGATAAAAGCACCAGTTAGGCAAACTAAGGTTCCTGGAGAGAGACACTGTTTGCCAGGGCACTATACTGCAGTGGAACTAAAACCCTTTCTAGATCGACCCCTTCAAGATCCTAATGCTCCTGGAGCTTCTGGTAAAGCATTTAAAACCACCAACTTGAATTCAGAAGAACAGAAAGAAAAACAACTTGGAGAAGAGAAACACTGTTTTAATGCATTTGCAAGTGATAGGATTTCTTTACACCGAGACCTTGGACCAGACACTCGACCTCCTGAGTATGTTGAACTGTGTATGTCCTGATAGTTGAAAAACTTCTCAGAAATTTAGACTGCAAAGTGATTTGAGTTCAACATTAGGTGATAGTTTAGGAAAGTCTCCTAGCTATACATGATTGGCTGTACATAACAGCCTGCAGTGCCAAAGCCAGGAATGTTTAGAAAAGCTCATTTCTTTCATGGTTTTGAATTCAAAGTAACCATATTTAAATAAAGTTTTCTGCTTCTGCCTTTAAGCTAAAATTTCTGAGTAACTTTCAGGAAGCTTGCTAAGTTTTGCCTAGAAGAAAACTGAAAATGTGGTTTAAACTTTTTTCCAATTTAAACACCACCCCTTGTTTTTTTAGTATTCAATGTTAATAAAACCACCAACATAATTTAATAAATTAGGAAATTGTAAACTGTTGAATAAGGTAATGGAACATCTCAGCAGGGGTCTTGTAGTTTTGAAAAATTTTATTAATGTAGACTTAGGACTTGGATAGAGTGGATTTTGGTTATGAGCAGTCTCTCAGTGTCAGATTACATGTTGTCAACCATCTGTGCCAGGAGTGACTGAACTTATCGAGCTGCTGCTGGTACCTGTGGTGCAGCTCCCCATAACCTTTGCTAGAGCATGACTGGTGAGCATAACTGTGTATTTTGTGAGGCAATGGCTGTGGTTATACTACCTTGGAGTAATAACCTCCAGTCTCTAAAGCTGACAGGTGGAAAACAGTAAGTGTGTATTTAATGTCCATAGTTATAAAGCTTTGTACTAGAAAGAGAAGGGTTTCTTTTAAGAGCTTGAGTCAAAAAACTGTTGTCCGTTTTGTAACACCTGACACTTTATCTGTAGATGTATTGAACAAAAGTTCAAGCGTTGCCCACCGCTGCCAACCACAAGTATTATAATAGTTTTTCATAATGAAGCATGGTCTACTCTGCTCAGAACTGTTCACAGTGTGATGTACACATCTCCTGCCATTCTGCTAAAGGAGATTATTTTGGTGGACGATGCCAGTGTAGATGGTAAGAAGTCTCTCTATTTTCACTTCTTTTTTTTTTTTTGATAAATTGCTTAAGAGGATATAATTTGTATAATGGTATTCTGGTTTGCTTCTTTCTTTTTCTTTAAAATACAAAGTAGCCCTCCCTCATCTTTTTTTTTTCACAGTGTAGTCAATATGAAATTCTTGTTCTCTAAAAGTTTTTAAACCCCATTTCTAGATTTTCCAATGCTAGTGCTACTTTAACTGCATAACTGGTTGCATGACAAGTAGCTTTGTAGTCTGTGCTTCAAACCAGTTGCAATTTATAGATCAAAGTATCCAATTACAAATTGACCAATACTTGTGGCAATTTGCATTTTATCATGCTGATTGTCTTTATGCAAATTAATTACATTAATATGAAGGGAAATGTCTTTACTAGAACGTAAAATTATTTATTGGAAAAATAATCTTCAGTACTCCAGCTGACTCTCAAACATAATCAACTGTATACTGAGTGTGAACACAAATGCAAGTTCAAAAAACTTTATATGCTTAACTTTAGAGGAACATGTCTTTACATATATGCTTCTATTAATCTATTTACACTTTTTTGCAAGTCTGTATTTAGTAACTGCACACTTGGACGTGAAATATGTTCATAGTACAGTTTAATACTAAGGACGGGCAAAGTATGGAAGATGATGTGGGATGTATAATGAGGGATGTGGGGTTGTTTCTCAAACCTTGAACATTTAAATAGTTCTCTATACGGCTTCTGTTGCTGTTGTAAACAGAGCCTTTGAAAACTGTAAATGTGCTATCATTAAGGAAAGAATTTGCATATTCTGCAGATAATGTAGGTATGTGATCCATTTGCTCTGAAAATGGAGGTTGAATTGGTATTCAAACTGTTAATGCTGCAGCAGAGATGTACTAGCATGTCCTTTCTCATTTAGAATATTTTTCGTGTTCCATCTCCTGTTCTCTGCCAGTCACCTCTTACTACACCCTACCTACAGCAAAACTCAGCCCCTAAAAATAACCTTCAGCAGTTTTGATGTTGAGGTAATTTCTGAGGTTTGTGAGTTGTTTACCTTGTTAGTTTAATAATGTAAAATTTTGGGCATTTATATACACTGAATATCCTAAAACTGATTCCTTGTTCCAGAATACCTGCACGATAAACTAGATGAATATGTGAAACAGTTCCAAATAGTTAAAGTAGTCCGTCAGAAGGAAAGAAAAGGTCTGATCACGGCACGGTTGTTGGGAGCTTCCGTAGCAACAGGAGAGACCCTTACCTTTCTGGATGCTCACTGTAAGTGTAACCTGTAACTATGCCAGGTCTGCTTTATAATGCTGTTCTCTTTGATTTGATGTTGCAGATATTTTATGAATTATAAGCATTTGCAATATGTCATCTTCCCTATTGCCGTTTCATATTCTTCAGAAGTATAATTAGCAATGCTGTTTAAAAGCTTGCTGGATGTGTTGAAAAATTCCCTGTGTAGTACTTTATAGCCAAGTAAAGATTCAGTGTTTGCTGCCATTGTGTCCACAGGTGAATGCTTTTATGGCTGGTTAGAGCCATTATTGGCAAGAATAGCTGAGAACCCTGTCGCTGTTGTAAGCCCTGACATTGCTTCGATAGATCTCAATACTTTTGAATTCAGTAAACCATCTCCTTACGGGCACAGCCATAACAGAGGAAATTTTGATTGGAGTTTGTCATTTGGATGGGAGTCTCTTCCTAAACATGAAAACAAAAGAAGAAAAGATGAAACCTATCCCATTAGGTAAACATTATTTGAATACTATTTAAATGCTTCTGTTTTCGTGGGGGTTTTGTTATGAACAGCAGTTTGTAAATAAACTTTCTTCAGATGAGTATAATCGGACATCTTAGTATCTTAGATGTTTTTTGTAATATTTTCTTTCAGAACCACATTTTAAAGCTTTCATAAAGATACGACCTTCTTAAGACAGTAATTGCTCTGCATTACCTTTTTTCTGTGTACACTGGGGATATAACAAGCAATTTCTATTGCTTATTATATTCCTAGCAGGAGGGGGCAGAGGAGGATTGTACGCAGGTTTTTTTCAGAGACAGTACCACAGATTCAGGCTTCTCTTTGATCATATTTGAAAGAATGACAAAATGGGTCAGAGCACCCAAATATTCTAGGCTGATACAGCAGTGCATTTGATGATCATTGTACCTGCTTTGGCCACAGACAGGTTACTGGTCTGTATGAGTAACAACTTTATTGATATCCTCCATACAGGGAAAATATGTTGGGAAAATATGACTGCTGTCTTTTATATCAGCAGTCATTAGTCTAAACTAGTTGTTAATAAATGGCAATAAAACTGTCAAATGAGTCTCCATGTGGGCAGATTTAATTGCTAGAGGTATTATCTATGCCAGGAAAATGCACCACTGCAATGAAACACTGACAAATTCATAGAAAATTCCTAGAACAGTTATAGCATGATTTTAAATCTATATTTAAAAAACCCTATGTATTTGAATCCTGTCTTCCTTCAATTTTGTTTTTGCAGAACACCTACTTTTGCTGGAGGTCTCTTTTCAATATCAAAAGACTACTTTGAACACATCGGAAGCTACGATGAAGAAATGGAAATATGGGGAGGTGAAAATATAGAAATGTCTTTCAGAGTAAGTTTAGCTCCTTAATTAACCATTGTCTCTATGCTGACAGTGTACAGGGGTTTTGAGGACAAATTAGTACTAGATCTTGACTTCTCTGCTGAATCAGCCAACTAGGATGTGGAAAAATGAATCACTGATTACCTATGAAGTAAAATACAAACTGAACTGATTTTAATTTTTTTAAGTGTTTTTAGGGTTGATAGCTGAAATTCATATTTTCAGAGTTTTCCTGACTAGGAAATTCTCTTACGGCATGCCTGACATATGTATTCTTACTAGTGGTTTGATGTTTTCTGGTGAACAGAAATATTGCTGAATTTTTTTCCACCCTCTTAATTCTGATTGCAGTGCACTTACACACTAAATGTTATTATTAGGTATGGCAATGTGGTGGACAGTTGGAGATCATGCCTTGCTCTGTTGTTGGCCATGTCTTTCGCAGCAAGAGTCCCCACACTTTCCCAAAAGGTACTCAAGTGATCACACGTAATCAAGTTCGCCTTGCAGAAGTGTGGATGGATGAATATAAAGAAATATTTTACCGAAGAAACACAGAGGCAGCAAAAATTGTGAAACAAGTAGGTGGTGGTGGTGGTATTAGAAATCACACTTGCTGCGTTGAAAGTTTTGGTGAGCAAAAGTTATTTATTGACAAAGTATGTAAGGATTCTAGATATTTTAATGAAAAGTCAGAGTTCAGTTTGTCTAATGCTGTAGCCCCAACAAACACGAAAAAACTAAAGTGGGTGGTGATAGTGTTGGAGTTTTATGGTGAGTTTTTCTGTTGGTGGGTTGTTTTATATGTTCTCCAAAGTCCTAGGTTGTTTGCATTGAGCAGATATGGGAACTACCAGAAGAGCATGAGAGAAACTACTGAGCATAGACAACGTAAACTAAATTATTTTTTAGAGTGAGAAACATAATGTCTTATTAGTCTTAAGTTGCTTAGTATTTTTACTTAAAAAGCAGGCTTTGTTGCTTTTTAACTGCAGAATAAAGCTTATTTGATGATGGATAACCATCCTATCTCTATCTGCTTATAAACTTCAGCTAATTTCAAGGGAGGCTGAGTTTTGGCTTATTAATTTTGTAAGTTTTTCTGTCAGTGAGAATCTAGAGTTCTCTTTGAGAAGCTACTTTTACTCCTTCAGGTGATAAATTTTCATGACTATCTAGTAGTACAGCATTAACAAGAAAAAAATCAACAAATGAAGCTTAAAACTTGCTTAATACTAGAACACAGAATATCATAGCTTTACATGTAAAAAGTTGATATTAGTAATTTTAATATATTTATCTTCCATCCTTCCTTACTTCCCCAACTCTAATAGAAAACATTTGGAGACATCTCAAAAAGACTTGATTTGAGACAGCGTCTGCAGTGTAAAAATTTTACCTGGTATCTCAGTAATGTTTATCCAGAAGCATATGTGCCAGACCTGAATCCCTTGTTTTCTGGATATGTAAGTTTAATTTTAATTATTTTCTATAGTCTTCATAATCCAGGAAGTTTGCTAATCTTTTGTGCTGTCTTAATCATAGCTTTTAGACTTTAGCTATCATTAACTGCTTTTAGAGTTTTCTGTCACTACTCTGGATAAAGAATCTCTTCTGCATACTTTGTTATTTGAATATTTTATGGCTTTGTCAATAGCTATGTAATTTTTATTTTTCATTCATGTGAATAGTCATTTTCCCTGCCAAATAACTTAAGACATTGCATTGCTGAAACTAAAAAAAAAACTAAAGTAATAATTCTTACCTTGAACATGAATGTTTAGCATGTATTTACAAATAAAACTTCTCCTTTATGTGTATCTGTTCAAACTTTAATTTGAATAACAGTAACATTGTTCACATTGTACACTAGTAGGTTAATCCATGTGTGACTCTGTAGTTATTAGGCTTTTAGTTAGAAAAGATTAACTGAGAGAACAGGATTTTTAGATTCAAGCATAGCAGAAAGTAAAAATGAACTAACAGCTGTAATTGTTGAACTAAAGGTTAGTTTTATATATGAGTGAGACAGTTTAATTTTTTATCACCCCCACTGAGCTTTTTTTATCCTGATAACACCCTTTCTTTAGTTAAAAAATATAGGAAACCACATGTGTCTGGATGTTGGTGAAAATAACCATGGTGGCAAACCACTGATTATGTATTCTTGTCATGGACTTGGAGGAAATCAGGTAAAATATTATATACATAATTTTTATGATCTCTCCTCTGTAGCATTACCATATAAAAGTTTTTAATTTATTTTAGTGAAATGGACTAATTTTTAATATTAAATATCTCTCCCCCATCTCTCTTTTTTTCCTTTTTTTTTCCTTAATAGTTAATTCCTATACATATTGTTAAAGGAAAATTGCATACCACTCTTAATGTTGTGTCCCACTTCTGATGTTTTAAATTCAGCATACAAATTCAGATTTCAAACACAGTTGCCCTGCTTCACTTGACCTGTCTTTTCTGTGCAAACCCTTTTTATCCTACCCTTATTCCTGTCCTGTAAGTGTTGTCTTCTTAATTCTTCCTTTCCTTATGCTTCCTCCTATTGCTTCTTTTCTCTGTCACCAGGACTCGCAGTGTCAAGGAAGATGTTGGTTGGAATCCGGCCAATGGGAGACCAAGTGTCCAGGCCTGAGCCACCTTCCCTATCATGCTTGCAGCCTCATAGTGCGAGGTCACAGTGGCCTACCCTGCACTGGCTAGTGCAAGGGAATAATGTGATCCCATTTGTTCAAGAGGAGCTCTCTTTGGTGCATAGCTCTTGGAGGCAGCAGTGGTTCTGTTCCTTCTACACTATACCTTGCAAGAGATGTGAGATACTGAATCCTTCAGTCACTACTGTAATAACAATAAAAGGAACATCTTCCCTGCCCAGAAGTGCACTCTGTTGCCTCTAAGAGTCAATAGAATTTAACAGCTCTAGATCCTTAATAACTGAACATTAGCAAAGGTTTTAAAGTTTTAGTTAGAATATAATTGTTATTTTGGGGGATGTTAAGGAGTTTTTTTCAACCTTAAAAGCCATCCATTGACAGCACTATGAAAATTCAGACACATAATCCTATAGTTAGTTGATACTTTCCTAATCCATTTTTGTGGGAGTTGGCACACTGTCTAGATTAGGAACTACCCTGTTATGTTAGCTTCTTACAGTATTGAACTTGGTTTTTTATTCTGTTGTGGATTAACACTATAATAGCCTTTTCACACTGTCACAGTCAGTAATTCAGGAACACTGCACTGAGACATTGTATTAAGAGATCTGCTGTATGCTTCTATTGTTCTCTCTCTCTAAGTTATCTTGGACTGTACTAAAACTCTATACTTTCAAGTGTTAATGTTTTTTGTTTTTCCTCCTGCCATAAATAACAGTCTGAAGCCCTTTAAATGCCAGCCTTCAGAGAACTTTAATATTGGTTTTGCTGGAAATGCTCAAGGAATGCATATTTGCTTACTTAACCCTTCTCATTACAATGCTCTGTTTTCAGTTGTTTTCTATCCTTTGCCAGGCTTTTTTCACTGTAGGCTGATATTTTCCATGTTACCTGTCATCTTTGTCTATATATTTGAGATGGCAGAAGGGAGTGGCAGATAGAACCTAATTGTCAGAGTTGTACATCAGTTGTATATTATTCTTCCTTTTTAGAATATTCTGGGACGGTGAACATGCCCATCTCAATATCCAAAATTAATGAGGTTTTAAACCGAGCTTTCAAGTCATATTTTTGGGGCGTGAAGAGACTTTGAAGTTCAAAAGATAAATCAGGACAGATTAAGTCAGATTACCAGATTAAGAGTAAATTATTATGTCTGAGAGCTGAGTGACTAAGCAGGTCACTCCTATCAGCACCTATTTCAGGGATTAATGTTGGTCACAGAGTCTTAAGAGGGAGATGCCTGTTTGTTCCTCAGTGCTATTCCCATTGCATCCAGTGAGGAGGTGATTGCTGACCAATTGGACAGATGGTTGAAAGCCACAAGGGAGTAACTGAGCCTGGTTTTAACAGTCAAAGAAAGATACAGTGCAGGCGGCTGACATGGAGCCAAGAAACAGGGGTAGTGGCATGTAATGATAGGAACTCTGCTGTTTAATGAGGGAGAAAAGGAAGAGACCAGGATGTTAGGGTAGGGCTTAGAGGGATAAAAGGACAGCAATGTCTCTTAACTGTTACAAGTAAATCCCTGTTAAGACCAGAATTATAGCCTAGAATTCCTGAGCCTTAACAGTACTGTGCTGTCAGGAAATCACGGTAAAATTAACTCACAAAATACATGCTTATATTACTTTTCTAATGGCTAGCTCACAAGAGAACATAACAGCATCCTATTGTTGACATTTATTGTTTAGATCAAGCAGAAAAAGTTGGCGCACAGCAATAATTATTGTTCCGTGTGACTTTTTTTTGTTTTGCTCTAAGAAAAGACAAAATCCAGCAACAGAATTGAATACAGATTTTTAAAGTTAAGAAATACCAAAATTTAAGTTATCTGTGCAACTATCTCTAGTCTTTGGTTGGCTTCCTTGAATTATATATAATCTGTGTGGGAGCACACAATGAGATATTGCATCATAATACATATGCAGCTAGAGTAATTTGCAATTTATACATGTAAATATTAATTAGCATTGCATTAGTATTAAAAAATCCTTTTAGCTTTGTAAACACTTTTAAAGTGTATGCTAAAACCCAAAAATTATTCTGTAGTCTCAAATTTTTTAATGAGAAAAGGCATTTATTACTTTGTATATGGGAACGTCAAAGATTTTAATACTTTTGCTTGGGTTTATTTACTGGATTTTTTTAAAATTATTTAAATAGTACTTTGAATATTCTGCACACCATGAAATTCGACATAACATTCAGAAGGAGCTTTGTCTACGTGCCTCTAAGGGACCTGTGCAGCTTCGAGAGTGCAGCTACAAAGGCCAGAAAACCTTCGCTGCTGGAGAGGAGCAGTGGCTGCACCAAAAGGTACGTGCAGTGAATTGGCATTTTTGTCAGTGATCTTTTTATATTATTTAATTTTAGATTTTCAGTAAAAATGAAAATGCCAACAAACCCAAACTCTGAAGCCAAAAAAGAGTAAGTTTAGTTTGGGCAGGAAACCGTAGGTAATTTCAGCTTTTCAGTTACCAGAACAAAGCTCGATTTCACTAGTAGGAGTGTCCCTTAAAAAACCAGTTTATATCCTTTTGTGTATATTTCTGGACATCCACCTGGAAGCCAATTTAGATGTTTTGTATCTTTTAAAATATTTTTAAAAATTTTTCTAACAAAACAAGTTGGCACCTGTGTACTACTTTTATTTATTTGCTAGCCCCCTCTGCACCATCTGTATGACCTTTAGCGATCAACCTGGGGGAAAACCAGTGGGGAAAACAGCATGCTCATTGTTTACTCTTTTTCTTCTTACTCACTTTAGGATCAAACTCTGTACAATGCAGCACTACATATGTGCCTTACAGGAAACGGAGAACATCCAAGTTTGGCATCCTGTAATCCATCAGATCCCTTCCAGAAATGGATCTTTGGCCAGAACAACTAAGATTTCATATTTATAGCCAGAAGCATTTATTAGAAGAGATGATCCATTCCGAACTGTGATCATATACTGCATTTTAAGTGATACTTTAAATGCAAAGTGTTTAAAGTTTCTTTTCCCTCTTAAGTTGGATATAAAAATGTGTCATTGGAGATTCATTCCCTAGGACTCTGCTATACCAAAGATAATTGAGATCCTGATTATATTTTGTTTACAATATTTCTATGATGAGACTTTGTACGTTGACCACTGATGTATGGATCCTATTAGTGCTCTTTCACCTTGGGGGCCATATGTATATTGTTTTTTCACATATATTGTAAGTACTTCTGAAGAAGACTAATTTTCTCTGTAGGGTTGTGAGAAATTATTGTCTACTGTCTAAAATCCAATACACTTTATATTTTTATGCTCAGTTGGTGGACTTTTTTTTAATAATTTACTTTATTCAGTGACACTTTCTTAATATTTTTCTAAGTTTCTTCATTTGAAAAATTAAATATTTGACTGTCAAGTAAGAGCCAAATAGGCTACCACACTGTGCTCAACTTCTAGCAAGTCAGTCCTTTTGCAGAAGAAAAAAGTAATTCTCACTGAAATATGTATTTATGATTATTCTAATGGAAAATCTGCTTATCCTGATACTAATCTTTTGTTTTGCCAAAACTTCTTCTATAAGGGTTTTTCATATTTCATGGACTATAAAATTTATGACAGTTATATTGTAATAGATTCACAACTGCTTAACATTTACACATTTTTTCAACCTTTTTTCTCATCATTACTTTTAAATTATTTGTTATCTACCAAAGTCGCTTTTTTTCTCCTACCTTTTAGTGATTTATGCCATGTTTACCTCACAGGTTTCTGATGTGATCTGTACAGGATCTCTTGTTGAACACCTGCATGGGTTTTTTTCTTATTTCTGTTTCCCCTTTTACAAATGAGTGACCTCAGTTCTATCAGTGCAAGTGAGACCTTGGCCTTCCTAACTATTCTGCTAACTATAGAAAATAATATAGCATAATTGAATATATAATCTATTTTTAAAAAAATTTAAAGTGAAGACAAAAATATTTAGCTGCATGATCAAATAGAAAGCTGACAATAAATCTAAAGGGGTGAGTATTAAAGACTGAATAGAACAAAATACACTAATAATAAATTTGTTCCTTTTTCCTAAATAATATCATTACAGATAAATGCTAATTTAGGTATAGGGTCTGGTGGGTGGATGACTGATAATGTGTGGGGTTTTTTACTTCTAATGGGGGGAGGGAGTCTGTCTGGATAATTTAATGATATCTACCTAATGAGTTCAGTTTCTGAATAAAAGCAAGAAGAAATCCTTTCAGTTGTTCTAAGTCATCTAAAAGGACAAAAAAGTGAATAAGCAAGAACCAATGATAATTTGTTGGAAGCATTACCTTAAACCAATTTATTTTTCTGGCTTGATAATACCTTTATGTTGTGTCTTGGCATCTGTCACAGGTGACACCTGTGAGAACGTCTTATGAAGTTAAAACTGTACAACTTAAAATAACTTGAGAAACTCTGGAAAGAAATTGATAAAAAGCCTGTACTGGGAAGGGTTATTAATACCACTGTGAAACTGGAAGGTTGTATAGAACGGCACTGCCTGTGTCCTCTGATAAATGTTTTAATTTGGTAATGGAATACCAACTTTTGCAGATCAAACCAATATTGGAAGGGCAACAAATGCTCTTGACAAATCGGAGGAGTTGAGGAAAAACAGAATGCAGGTCAATGAGAAAACTTTTGAACAGTATAAATAGAGGATGGGAGATTACACAGAGAGCAGCTGTGCTGTGTTGAACACCAGGTATGAAATGGGAACTCAGTGTTCAAGGAACATGTTCTAGAAGACAAGGTATTTAGCACAGTGGTTTAAAAGGACTTGTTCTTTTAGTTCTTAGTTCTCATGTTAAACAAAAAAATGCATTATATTATTTTTAATATCACCCAAGGATAATTTCTTCATGCAATCTGTATCTCTTACAATCTTGTCAGACTGGAATATGCATATGTTAATATCATTTATCTACTCATTACCAGTTGGGGTTTTGTGGGGTTTTTTTTAGAGGCAACGTTCCAAACGAGGGTAGAATTGGAATTTTAAGGAGACAAGTGTTCTCTTGCACTCAGAGTGAGGAACCTCTTCATGAGCAATGCTAGAGAAGCTCCACTTTGTATTTTTTGTTTTTCTAACTAATCTAAGATCATATCATAGCACATAGAGCAATATATGCAGTTGTTGCTCTGTTTTCTGCAAAGATTAGGTATAGCAGTTCACTTAGTTATTATATTCTGTCTTTAGTTCTAGGCGTGGAAGAGGAAAATTAATTCTGTGATTTAAAAATTGTCTTTTAAGATTTTCCTTTTATTTTTTGAGATTTCTGGTTTAACATGGGTCAGTTACACAAAATTCCTATTATACTCTAATTTCTTAAAGTATGTTTACTATCCTTTAAACTATGAATGACATTTTAGTCTGTAATTTTTCAGTACTTAGTACAGCAGCAATTCTGTCATACTTGGATTCCCTACTATCTTCCAGAAAAGAGGGAAGCAGATCTAAAACAGAGGAAAACTTTAAATGAGTTTTTTGTTCTCTTCTGTTTGAAGATCTGAAATTAACTTCTGTGTCTACACTGAATATTGCATTTCCAAATATTCATACATATGTGTGTGTACATACATATATATATAGAGAGAGAGAGACATTATACTAGAAGAACAATAAGAAATCTGTAAATACAACAGGAAATTTAAAAAGTCGGATTCTGGTTGTTTTTTTGTAATTTAATAAAAAACCAGCATCATCTTCTGGATGTTGTTAATGTTCTCCTGAAAGTGGCATTTTGAAAACCGGTTTGTTGCAGGGAGGTTCTCTGGTTCTGAAATGGCTGTACAAACTACTGAAGGTTGCTACAACAGCAGGCATCAGTTCAGTGTTAACCTGCATCTCACCACGCTCTTTTACACGTCCAGGGAAGTAATCACAAATGCTGAAGAAGGCTTGAATTCAGGCAAGGACAGCTCAGCCCCACTCCCAGCAGGACAAAACGGGTCCTAAACATTTTGGGACTTCAGGGCTTGTGGCTCTGGGCAGCAAACAAGAGGTCTGCACTTGCTTGTGGCTCTGCCTGGTTACAACACCGTTCACTGCAGTGTGAATTCACCACATCCGAGGATTTTGTTTTATCACCCTTGGCAGTAATTGCTGGTTTTCTCTAGGGTGAGTATAGAATAATGTGAGTACTATTAACAGATAACTTACCAGTGAATCTTAGTGTTAAATCTTCTTACTTCTGAATTGGCATCAGAACACCAGTGTTGAAAGTTGTTTTACAACATTTTTTATATCAGTATGGCTTAGCAAACCCTGGAGCAGCCCTGTTAACCATAGTTCAAGGTAATGCCAAAAGCAGTGTGAAGCAGATGTTAATCTGTTTCATTCTGTGTAACTCCTAACAAACTAAACCCAAATGATACCCTAAATCCTGTGAGAACTTTTTTTATAATCTTGAGAAAATCTGATCTTTATCCTTTTTTTTTTTTTTAATTCAAATAATTTAGCTATATGTAATTTATCATTAAAGCACACTTAGGGACAACTTTTATCAAAGTAGAGCTCAATTTTAATAAATATCAGAATGAAAATATGGCAGAGACCTGTGATTGTTAATTATTTTCTTAATGATCGGCAGTTTTCAAAATAAGCAGTTGTCCTGAGATGTAAAAGTTTGATTTATAGCCATAGAAATGATTTACTGTGTAACATTACTGCAAATTGTCCACCAGGGAGAGCTGGTGCAAAATTTTATTCCAACAGCTGCTGAAAACAATTGCTTCATTACCTTAAAATAAAAAATATTAAATTCACTGTGATAGGCACAGGTAAATCAGGTACTTTCTTTCACTGGCCAGAGAAAAGTGTAGGCAGTAGTATCATGAAAAAGCAGATGGATATACCTAACAAGGCATTTCTGTTTATTTCTTTAATTGGCATACAAATATTTGAAAATAAAAACAGGCACAAAAAAAAACCCCTCCACACAAACTGTTTACACTGTCAGGCTATGAGGAACGGGAGAAATGCCTGAAATTTCAGAGTGTCTTTAGAGGCTCTACAGGTCTTGGGGAGGAGCTGCAGGACTAATTCTGGTTTGCTTAGCTGAGAGAGGAATCTCTTGTGAGTGCACAGCAGAAATAAGACGCACATTCACTGGCAGCCATGATGTAACGTAGAAACCTGTTTTACTTCATTGCAAACAAATGGACAATATATATTGTACAATATATAATAAAAATACAGCTGATACAAGTGCCACTAATTAACAAAAAAACCTAATGTTAAGACTTAAAAATGCTCATTTTTGTAATATATACACTGCAGTAATAAGCCACAATAAATACATCAAATTCCATATCATTCATAATAAATACCGAAAATATAAATACAGAAGAATACAGTTAATTTGAATAAATTATTACAATGTAAGGTCTAGGTTAAGTTCTGTTGAATATTATTGTAGCTTATATTACCCTTTGGCATCTTTGATGTTACAACTTGTTTAAAAAAAGGAAATTAAGGAAATGTGTAGTTCATGAAGCTTAAAATTATTTCCATGTACAGATTTTAAGATGAACTTTCTTTCCCTTCACTTCTTCAAACAGTTTAAAAGCAGCAGTCCTATTAAATATCTTGCTTTACTGTTGAGCTCTCCATTATTTTAGTATGCAAGATAATCTGTAATGGAAAATGTTAAGTACTTAACATAATTATTTTTCTCAGAAATTAGTAAAGTTAGAAGCAATGTACAAATTTTAAACAAATGGCTGCAATTACACCACAGTTTTCCTAGTCCCATTTGAATGGATTACCTGTCTGAAAGACCGTCAGCTTAAGTGCTTTTGAATCTATGCTGCGGTGTATTATTTACCACTTGACAACAAAAATTTCAAAAGCAATTTTATATTCTTATGGGGAAATATATATATATATACAGAGAGAGATGAACCTCCTGAAAGACAGGGTTGGACTAGACAGTGTAAATGTTACATAGTCTGTATTTGTTAAAACAGTTAAAATACTTTAAACATATAAAAGGTAATAAGTGTTGGTTTTTGTTTGGTTGGTTTTTTTTACAAATTTTCTATCTATTAGCTATAGATGGAAACAAATCAAAATAACCAATTAGCCATGTTTTATGTTAACAGGTAATTAACAGTACATTTGTATTAATAATTTTATTTGTGAAAGATTATTACACCAGAATGTAATTTAACTTAAAAGATCAAGTTTACTAAGACAATATTACAGGCTGAGGCTCTTAGGAATGGATTTGTAATCTACAGATTTTGACTATTTGTGCACTGTTAAATGTCTAGCGCTTATTTTACATCAAACACTTTTTTAACGTTTCACAAACTACACTTCAGACGTATTTCCATAGAAGCGCCTACAATCAGTCAATTAAAAGAAGGGCCCAGTTGTTAAGCACTTTTTATATGAGTAGTTGGTGCTACTTGTGTCAAATGGTTGGGAAAAAAACAGCATGTTTGCTTTGGGTTTTGTTTTAAGAGAACCAGCTGCCAGTGCACAGGATGATCTTTTCAAGAACTGAAAAGTGGTGCTGAATCCGATCTGAGACTCACAAATGTGTCTTTACAACACTCCCCCGGTACCCCAGCAAAACCCAAAGCTTCATTCTTAAGAACATACTTTAAAAGTTCCAGATGGAGAAACCTAAAATAATTACCTGCCATAATGTCTAATAAGTAAGTCTTATTTGAAAATCCCAAACTAAAATGCTAATAAAAAGGACACCTACTTTGTCTTTGCTTTTAATATCCCTTGATATCTGAGAAACTGGTTATATGAGAATATGTGCTTGGGAGCAGAGTTTAACTGATACTGAAAATATCTTTGTAATTGCCATAGGCAAAGAAAGGACATGGTAGCAGTGCTTCTAGGTGTGGCTTTGCTTTGCATTTTTTACCCCATGCATTTGGATAAGTCTTTTATTTAATGGCCACCTGTATGTAACTGGTCTGGAAAAATGGCATTTCCTGTTTGCACTGAGTTCATGGTTGGTTTAAAGTATATTAAGTAACAGAATCAATATTATCATCTAACATGGGCAAGCTTGTAGTGAACATCCATGTACTTTTCCATCCTTGTTCTGGAGAGCTCTTTTTTTCCCATTTTCCTTCCTTTTTTAATATGTAATGTTTTGGTTTCTCCTTTAGAAGAAAGATCAATCTGCCTCATGCCTTCATCTTCTTTTCCTCTAAACTGTCCTTTCTATCCTCCCCTCACTCTAGTGCTTCAAGACCTAGGACTATATTGATTCTTGTGTTAGAACAATGATGTGCATTTGTATCTTCCTCCATTTTCCTATCCATCATGAAAAGCTAATCTCATCTTCATGGTTTATTGGAAAAGTGAACAGTTAGAGAAGAATGCACATGACAGGCAAACTTCAACTTGGTTCTACTGGACATTCATTCATGACGCAGAAGTGTCATTGCTAAGATCCAAATTAAGATAACTGAGTAAATAAAGGACAAAGTTTGACCTTTGACTTTTTTTGTCCCACCCCCAGCCTTGGATGAAGACTATCATCCTCTCAGCTGAGAAGCTGCAGTACAGAGCATCAGGAACATGGTTCTCCAGGCCGTGGGACCTCCTGAGTTCTGGATGTCCTCCAGCCACAAAGACTGCACAGCACCAGAGCAACACACATTTTACCTCACAGAATCACAGAACAACCCCGTCTGGAATGGACTTTAAAGATCTTCTACTGTCAACCTCCATGCCATGGGCAGAGGCCACCCCCTAGATCCAGTTGTTCAAAGCCCCATCCAACCTGGCTTTTCAAGATTTAATTCACAGCACAGAGGATGTGGGAGTTGCCCTTGTGCTCGACTGTAATGAAAAGTCTTACTGTACAACAGACCTCCCAAACACTGACAGGAAGGAAGGCATTAAAAAAGAACACTAAGGCTGCACAACAGATGTTCCATGAATTGGATGTTCCAATTAAAAAGTTAAATTCTTGGTATCAGCCATTAGGGTAGCAGAAAGTCCTCAAGGATATTACAACTTTCCTCCTTAAGTGGAAACAATACTCTGGCACATTTATTAGCAACAAAATTAAAAGCTGCCTTGGCTTTAGGAGTGGGAAGAGACAGTGAATAGGAAGAACTTCTGAAGAACCCAAGTCTATTCACTCAGACATCTTTAAAACTAAATTGCACTTGTTCATCACAATGTTTGAGCTTTGGATTTGACACTTCTTGGAGAAAATGGACAATTAATAATTTGCACGTGGACAATGATTACAGAGAACAGCAAAATTAAGAATATTAGAAAAACCTGGAAACACTGAAAAGGCAAATGCTGAGATTTCTCATACCAAGGAACATTTAAGTCCGTTTTGAAAATAACAGTTTTCTACCATTTTAAAAAAATAGTAATCAGATTTAATATTTTAGAAATAAATTCTATAGAATATATTCTCTGAGTTACTTCTAGTTTTTCAAAGTATTTTACATCAAACGTTCTGCAACCATAATAAAGTAGATAACAGAATTGCTCTTCAGCCTCAGCAGGAATGCTTGAGGATTTTCCGTATCATCCTCTTCTGTCCCTGTTCCTGACTCTTTCAGGAAATAAAACAATTGGCATAATGAAAACAAGTTCATACAACTCATGAGCTGTAACAAGGGAGATCCTTATTTAGCAAATGCTTTTTAAAAGGATATCATGGGTCTCTTGCTTTACCTTTGAGTGAGTAAGAGCAGCTGCTTTGCTACAGGAGCAGTCCAGGCAAGGAGTTCCAACTGAGAGAATTCAGCCAGCAAAAGAAGACACTGTGCATGGGAGTAAGACTGCCTGCTGCTGTCGAGTACGGTGTTGCAGACAAACTACAGTCCTGCTGCTCAAATGTTAAGCACTTGACAGGTAAATGTTGTATACGCAACACAGCTTTTATTCTAACTTTTCACTGTGCAATTTACTGTTAAACTTCTGCTCATTAATGCAGTCTAAGGAAAGGAGAGCTTGCTTTAGCTGTGCTTCACATTAATGAAAAATTTCTATTCACTTCTGGACTGGGCTTTATTTGGAAAGTGGCATAGTCTGCAGTACAGAAATTTAGTTATGATAGCACAAAAAGGGGGAAATAAAATAGTATTTTGCCTGTTTTATAGAATTATGTTTTATCAATCACAGTATCTCCAAGTACATTACAAATCAGAGCACAGAAGATGCAACTGACACAACAGGACAAAGGCAAAGCCAACAGAACCCAGGTGTCCTCTCTCTGAGCCCAGTACTCTCTATCCAGTATATCACATTTCTATCAGAGAGTCAGGAACACCTGAAATATTAAAAAACAAAACATATATTCTGTTTTGCATACAAATATATGCATACAATCTTTAAAAACTAGCTATGTTTGTGAAGATATTCCCTGTGAGGCAGGGAAAGCAAAAGTAACAGCACCACCAACACTATATGGGATTTCTGCAGCACTTCCACAAAGGACAGGATTGCTCTGTTACCAGAGCACTGATCAGGCTGAACTGTATCTATGGGCATGTACAATGGCCTTAAAGTAAATTAATGTCAACTCCAACTATGATTCACTAGCAGGAGTTTGTGTAAATGAAAAATAGTAAAACTTTACAAATCTAGAACTTTCTGATCTAAATGGCAGACAACTCAACAAAGAATAGTATAAAGTTCTACTGGCCAGCTTTTAATTTTCTAAGGATGTTCCAGTGGACATGAGTTATAGCTCTTAGAGCAATTGCAATTGCTGTAATTAATTGTGCAGAAAAGTTCTGATTTCATGTCTAACGTCAGTTAAAGCTTTTTTCCAAGAGAGGCAAAAAGTTCACCTTATAGGCAAAATGGGATCTGGTTTTAGGTGCTGTTCCAGTGATCTTCTGTGTGAAAATTCTGGTTTATTTTAACAGAAGGAAATGCTTTTGTTATGACTCATTTTTCTGAACTATGCAATATAATCATAAATTATTACCTAGCTCCCTAGGAGTGTTTATCAGTAGCCAGATATCTCAGGAAATAAAGCTGATATAACTATCAGTAAAGTAAACATTTCCTCAAATGATACACTGTGTTGACACAGAAGCAATACTGCTGGTTATCATTTAGTAGTATAATACTTTTATCAATCACACAGAAACAGCCTACCCAAAATGAAAGGACTGGTTATCAAAATGACTATTAGCCAGCTGAGAAATGGGACACAGCATTATATACTAGCCCAGAAAATAACATTAAAATATTTTCCATACTATGATTAATTTAAGTTTGTAAATGTTTGTTTTTAAATGAAAAGTATATTTTTTGCTATAAACAAAACATCGAAGTCTAATCAAGTGGTGAGAAACCAGACTCACCTGATTTCTACATCCTACTCTACATTTCAGGTAAAGTAGCCTACTTGTCAGTTAAATTAACTTTCCTGTTTGGTCAGGGCTGCAACTATTTTTTTTTTTGTCACTCTAGTGTTTACTTTGCAACCTGAGATGAAATCTTGATTGCAAAACATCAGATCAGATTAAAAGAAAGGTATTACTATATACATTATCACCAGCTAGTTAATTAGGAGTATTCTTTCAATTTAAATCATTATTCTGCACATTTTACTTCTTCTCAGGAATTAGCTACTTAAAACATGGCAAAACAGTGTATCACAAATAATTTATATAGTCACTGCTCTCTCTACCCTCTCTCTTCCAAGATGTAACTGCTTGTTATTCTGTGCTGCAGGCTTGAGAGAATTTGGCTGCATTCACCCCTGATGCCCCAATGGCATGGAATAACACACATATCTAAGTACTCAGAAGTTTATACAGGTGCTGATATTAAGCAGGACTGGGATCTGAAGCCTGTGCGAATGGAAATAGTAAATAACTACCACCTCAGTATTTTAAAACTGGCTGAGATGTATTTTTATGAAGTTAATCACTTACTGTGCTTGCTGATACAATTAAAGATATTTTTCAGGTGAAAGCACAGGGGCCAGGAAAATAATTTCTTATTGCTCAGTAAGGGGGTGAATAATAAAATATTTCATTTAACTGTCCCCTGAGATAAATACCCCAGTAAAGTGTGTGTGGTTTTCCAACACACTCTGAGGGTAAAGAGCTGCTCCTGATCCTCATCTACTGTCCCAGCTCAAGCAGAAGAGATTTGTGCTTTTTGTGCTGGTGTTGAGTGAGAGCGCCAAATCCAACTCAGTGTTGATGCAAGATACCTGTAGACAGAGAGACTTGTTACATTTGCCCTTAGAAGATCCTGAACAGAATAATATTCTCAGATGCAGAACTTTAAGAACTAGCACATTTCTCTTTAAAAATCAAGGGTATTTGCATTGGAGAATACAGATGTTTACCTGCTTACTCAGTCTTAGAAAAAGAGCCTAGAGTGTTCTGTGACTACAGGAGGAACGAGGCTACTGAACTGCTAAGCCCGATAACCAGCATGAATGCGCTTTCTCAGGAGGTGGAATATGTTTCAAGTTTGGAATCCAGTCCCTAGAGAACTAGACTTGTCAATGCAGTTCATATAAAACGTGTAGGACTTCTTGTGGAAACAAGTAAATAAAAAACCTTTCCAGCTACTACATGGAGTAAAAATATTTTGCTAATTTAGCATAAATATGAGAAATCACTTTGCCCAGATTTCATATAAAAACAACTAAGTTATCTTTTTTTTTTTTAAATGAAAAGCATATTTTACATCTGGCAGTTTTTCTACTGGAGTACTGTACATGATGTTTTAAAGAGTTTCTAACCAGAAGAGTCATTGTTACAGAGCTAAAATTTACAGTGTTTACATGCACACTGTTAACCATCTAGATTTGACACAGATAAAACTAAGATGCTGATCCTTATTTTGACAAACAAGACAGGTCTACATTTCAACTCACTTGATGTAGAATAAATAAAATTTCAATATCAGAAGACCAAAAATGCTAACATAGATTTTGAAACCAAAATAAGGCAGTGCAGAATTTCCAGTGCAGCAAAAACCTGGTTCCTATGCCTCCTTTTCTAGACAAGAGCAAGGTTGGTTAATAAATTAAAGGTTGATATACAGCAGGTACTTTTATTTCCCATTTCATTTAAAAACAAATGGATCACAAGAAAATGGATATCCATTTGATGCCCATGCTATTTTGCTTGCAGACTTTTGCAGATACAGAATTCCTGAAGCTTTTTTCCTCACTGAATCTGCTGTTTCCTATTTGTACCAAATGATGCTACATTTGAGGTATGACAAGAAGTCCACAAAAGCCAGTCTCATATTTCATAAAAAACTGTTAAATGTTTAGGCAATCTAGAGAGTTCCACATTATTTCCCATGCTTTATTTTAGCTTTGATCAGTAAGGCTCTGCTTTTATAAATCGCATACTGACATTCATAAACTGCCTTGGGAAAAACGTCCAGGTTTTGTTACAATAAATGTTAAGATCTTACAAATGCCTCAGAGAGTGGAGCTATGGCATTTCTCCAGAGTGGTTCACAGTTTCCACAGTTAATAAAGTCCTGCAAAACAGCACTAAAGTGCAAAGTATCTGAATGGTTGCTGGGCTAAAAGGTGCTGTGCAAGCTTAAGCTACTGCTTTGCCATTATATACAAGATCCTTTTTCTTTGGGGTGAGGGTGCTAGTTCTGGAATGCCTCTGATTTTAGTTTTAATGGAGGATTGTCTACCTTTCTAGAAGATGTAAATGCCCCCTTTCTGATTCTTCTGTTTGTCAAGAACAGTAAAAGAGAAAACAGCACACTCTAAAAATGTGTTTCAAGACAATTTACCAGACATGGTATTAAAAAAAAAAAGGAAAGAAGAATACAAGGTACTCCAGATGAAAAGTGGATATGCTCTTTGTAACTAGATATGGATCTTCTGCTCAAATGAACATGCTGTCCATTTCTATCAAAACAAGAATCTTAAACTACCATAAATAAAATACATACAGTACAGAACAATTAAAACTTTTTTTGTACAGTAGTTACTTTTACATTAAACTTACCATCTTTTCAGATATGTTGAAAATTAGGACTCTAAACATGATTATTTCAAAGTATCATTTTTAACATTTTTGCACAGGCCCGACAGTCAAAAACACAAAGCTTTGATTCAGATAGCTTGGCAGATTTCACACACGTCCATAGGTAGGCTACTCTGAAATAGGTTGGCTGTGTTTCTTTACTTACGTGTTTTATTTTTATCAAAAAAAAGGTTTGATTATTTAAATCTTTACGTGAACTGTTTTTGTGCAATACCACTGCCAGTGTAGCTTGAGAAAACACAATGTGTCTGGAACATTGATCGTAAGTCCAAGTGTTGTCTACCTCTTAAAAAAGTAAGATTCTAGGAAAATCCGATGGGAGTGAATTTTAATACAGGAAGTCAGTCCTAGAATAATTTTAATATTAAACAGGTACCGTTTCTACCACTGGAGATTTGATGCACTCCTCGTGCAGTCTGCTCTTTTCTGGGAGGTTTAGTGAATTCTCGGCAGGGTGCTCTTGCACGCGGCTGTCGCCGTTCAAAGCTGACACAAAGCCATCTGGAGAGGGACCTTTCAAGTAGGAGTGAAATTCCACTTGTGGGTGACTCGGCCTATGCTCAGTGTATAAACTGTTACATGGAGCACTGCCATCCCCTTCAGAAGATGAGCAGCAAACAATCACTGAGGGGTTTGCAGAAGGGTAATGAGGGCTGCTAAAAGTTTCCTCTGATTGCCGTGTGTAGTCAACGAACTGTTCAGAAGTCATGTTGTAAGGCACCAGAGAAAGGCTACCGTTCTTGACAGCATCCCTTTCTGAGTAAGTCTCACCGATCTGGTTAGCAGTGCCAGCAACGTGGTTCTCTATTTGGTAATACAGAGTTGAAGAGTTAGTATAGTATGAGGCATTTTTAGAGTGGTTTTCATGCACAGCAGTTCCATCAGAGTAGCAAAGGACAGAAGGAAGAGGCACCATATCAGCGTGGGAGCCCATGCTTTCTACAAAATCATCTGCTTTTTCTTCCTCCTCATCTTCCTCCTCATCTTCCTCTTCCTCTTCATCATCATCTGATTCACTAGGGGCTAAACTCTGTGTGCTAGAATCTGTAACTCCACTACAAAAGCTACTCCCATCTTCCTCTTCCTCCTCTTCCCCTGGGCAGTCCAAGTCCTCGGCTGACTGGGAATGCATAACCGCAGCCGGAGGTTCCGTTTCAATCTCAAAATTTTCTGCAATTGAATATTCAACCGGGTGGGCTCCTGGACTCATAGAACTAGTGTGTGCACTTATCTCAGTGTGGCAGCCATTAAGTGCTGGAACTTGCTGCTCTCTATTTTTCTCCAATTCAAGTTTCATTATTGTGTGCAAAAAGTGAGTCCGTACACGGATAGGGTTAAATTCGATTCTACCTGCAGTATTGCTACACCCTTCCTTAGTGCAACCGCATGGAAAAGACATACGATCCACCTTTTAAAGAAAAGAATACAGATTAACAACACGTAGCATAAGCCTGGAGATATGACAGAACCTACACAGCCTAGAGAAATACAGTGGTGAGGTGGCATTCACCTTGAGAAATACCTGTAAGACTAGTCCAAGCCAACAATAATTCAGGGAGTCAGCCCTGGAATTGAGCAGTACTGAGAGGAACACTAAATACATGCATCAGTGCTGCACAGTAGGAAAAATACATTTCTGTTCCATAGGTGAAAGTACTAAACAGTGGAACAAAAAATAGGTAGTTTTTATATTTATGGATCTGCTACAGCTTTACTTCATTTTGTGCTCAAATCCAGGCAAAATCATTACCAAAAAGCATCTTAAAATTTGGTAAAAATTGGTAAAAGTCATGGAAACTAGACACCTATTGAAACAAAATGATTTATATATAGAAACCTTTATAAAGTTGCCAACAAGGACACCTGACCATGGAAAATAGGAATAAAACCTCAAGTGCATTTTAAAAGGTATCCCCCTCTATTATAGGGGCAATATTGTAAGCTCAACAGACTGTGCACAGAACTTCTACATCTAAAAATACTAATATTAAGTTTTTTAAATGTGGTTGAATCCACGTCAGCCAGTTCCACCAGACAGCTGAAGGTCTATGACTTTCACCTACACTGTAATACCTAAACATCAGATACCATGCAGAGAAGTACGCTGTAACATAATCTAGTACATGTTCCTCACATGTGGAGATGAAAACAGGAACAGCAAGGAGAATATATTATTTAAAATAGCAGAGAAAGTTTAGCTTGGATTTACGAGATGATGAAAAATGCATAAAGGAAGAAAACTCAGCTGCACAACAGCAACTCAGCAGAAACTAGTAGAAACCTCTTTTAGGGAATATTTTGAGACATGTACAGCTGACACTATGTAAATGTACAATATGAAATACCTCTTCAGTCTGCAGAGGAAAACCTTCTATATTAGCTGATACATATTTTTATTGCCTACATGCAAATTTATCATGCATAGATTTCAAGTATCATGCATGTTATAAAAAGGACAGTACCACAGAGTGTCACTTATTGTTTCTCATTGAGTTTGGACTATAATTCACATTTGGAGTGTATGGTAATTGTCTCTAAAATAAAAGATAATATCCCTTCTGAAATCTGCAGGCTACTAGTTCTTCTGTTGTCTGCATCAGCCTATTTAGATAAAGGCCAAAGAAGAGCACGCGGAGCAGAATATTTGTATAGGAACAAAAAGCCACCCTAGACCATGTATGTGCCTGAATCAATCATAAAATAAATAAATATATTTTAAGAGATTGTTTATATTGATTGCCCACTATATACTCTTAAATCAGGGCCTTAAAAAACTGGTTTGAGATCCACAGGTATTACTAATACTTGATTTCCAATGGTTATAACTTCAACAACTAAAGGTACACGAGTGTGCATGGACACATCCCCCTCCCCCAGATAATTAAACTGGTAATAATGTAGACATTTACCTGACATTTTATGCCTGCCAGACTGCAAGTGCAGGTTTCTGGGTCACAGAAGACACGGCAGTCACAGCCACAATCCTCTCTGGACAGGCGGATGGCTCGCAGCTCGTGCTTCTCTTCCACGTCAATCTTCTTCACCCCAGACGCTCGCAGCAACGCCCTGCGCTTCTTTGTCGGCAGGGGCTGGAGAAAGAAGTACTCATCTACCTCAGTGTTGTCCAGATCAATGTCATCATCAGAAATGTCATCCAGCGTCAGCGTATTGGCTTCTTCGGACTCCACTGTCCCATTCTTTGTCATCTGTTGCACAGAACAACCAACAAAGTCCAGAACTGCACTCACACATATGTATGGCACAGATGTAACTTTGTCTAATGCATTGTGAGTGTGGAAAGCTGTGTGTAAAAATGCTGCATGACTGCCAGTAAGTTCCAGAATATGATCACATGTAGGGTGATCAGGCATTTCTTTCACATTTAGCTTATGAAGTAATGTACATTTTTAGTACCATGTTTGTAATGAAGATATTTTTTCTCCTAAGTTTCTAGTTACTTACCTGTTCTTTATTTACCTGTGCTTACCACTTGTCATTGACTGCCAGATCTCATGCCTTTCTGAAACTCTAGTCTTTTCTGTATTGTTTCACAAGATAACTTTTGACACCTTAATTGATTCCTGTCTCTGAGCTCTTTGAAATTCTTAAATATCCCTTTTGAGATAGTAATTATACTACTGACACAGGTTTAGATGATGATGCATCACAGGTTTGTAAATGGTGTATTTTATGTACTATTTATTATCCTATTCTTCTTTAGCCTGACAAGTTGTTTGATGTCTGTATAGATGAGAACACAGAGCAGTATTTCTACTTAATCAGTTGGGCAGATGGCTATGTTTGCTTCTTGAGTTGGCAGTTTTAAGCCTGAAAGCCACTTAGTTTTGCTCCTTTCTACCTACATTACTCCATTCGAACCTAAATGATTCTGTGACTGCAGGTTTATTAGCACTGTGTTTCACAGCGCTGATGCATACAGCTCTTCTGATGTTCCTTCTGGTTCTCTTTGGTCCTGAAAAGAACCCATTTAGCTTTGTGTTGTCATAGATTTTAGTACTTCAGTCATCAGTTCAGATTATTGTTAGGTAGCTAACAAATGCATACATTTAGAAAAAAAGGAAGCATATTGTAAACGTCTTGCAAAGGATCTTGAGAAAAGTTTTAAGACTTCTTTTCCTAGGAATATGAATTTTTGAGCCTCTATAGAAACAAGTATCCTGGCACTATATTATTACCTTTGTACAGTCTAGCTCTCAAACCTTTCAAAAGCTGTTTCAAAATTAAATGGCCATGGGCATTAGGTACAAACATCCAATGCCATATTCATAACATAGCACACTTCTGTACCACACTACTATAACTCATATAGTAAGGGGTGAATATGGTTAAGGAGGAAAAGGAAAAAAAATTACTGCTCTGAAGGAATGTAGAGCTCACTGGTTATATCTGCCACATAACACAACCACAGGGTTCATAAAAGTTCTTCCACAGAGAAAATTGCTTGAGAGTTGAAAGAATACCAAGCCTTAAAACAAAATTCAGAGAGACAATGACATTCACTACAAAAAATTTATTTCCTCAATCTCAATTTACTCAGATTGAGTATCATTGCAAATGTGAAGCAACTTAAGTTATATGATTTATTCTGTCATATAATAACTCTTTTATTATTGTTCTAATTTTGCTTTAAATGAGAAAACAAACAAAAAATTTCACAATGTTCACCCTGCTCTATGTAATGTTCTCAGCTGATGAAGCTGCTGAATTGCACTTGTCGAGCACCTGGTCTCATACTTTTGAGAAGAAAACATGGTGCAACAATGTTCATAAACTGGTGACGTGTCAAGTGCCATTTGCACTAACAGTTTCATCCTGGGCATTACCATGATTTCAGGAAAATGGCCCTCAGTGAACATCATTTGAATGTTTCTTACCTTTAGAAAAATAGCCATTGAAACTCTTTCTTGGTTTTGCCTTATTTACTTGCAGAAAATTTCACCTGGTGTGTTATCCCAAATAAATTTTTAGGCACCAGTTTTAAATACAGATAAAATGCTGAAGTCATAAATACCATAACCTGTTTCTTTTGCATTTCAGTGTGTAGATGTTTAAGATTTATCGCTGTAAAAGTAACTCCCCATTTTTCTGCTAATTTGTGTCATCTCCATCTAGCTGCGTTTCTGATGTGTGAGAAAGCAGTCCTGAATTTTACCCATTCCACTATTTCTGCTTTTCTTATATTGCCAATTGCTTAATTTTCCCATTTATATTAACAGTTCATCCTCTCCACAGTCTTTTGGATTGTAACTGTCATTTATGGCATTATTGAATTACTTGACAGTGACTTCCTACTGACTGCTTACTCATTTTGGCAATTGCAGTTTTGTGCTTATAACAACTGGTGTAAGACAATCACAGGAAAAAACCCCAACAACCTAGTTACTCCTGACTTGTAAAGGCAGGTTAAAAGCCATACTGCTCCCTTTAAAGGAGGAGTTTCAGTGTCATGAGTGGCAGTCCTTAACTACAGCTTTTGTGTACACATTACACTGCACAAAGAAAACTTCTCTTGAGATCAGCAATCATCCCATTTTAGCAATTCAGCACCGTATTTAGTTCATGCAGAGGTGTTCTGCCACTTCCACAACCCACTTTTTAAGCATTATTGTTTCTTTCTCTTTTCAATGTATTCTCAAACTTTCTCCCTGACTGAAGGCTTCAGAGTTTAGTGCCTTTGTTTTATGCAATGTTTCAGTGTATCACGTCTGTTATCCCTGTAACATGCAAATCCCTTCTAGCTCTTTCTTCATCTTAAATACAGGCATTTTCAAAATGTCCCCTCAAACTTCCTTCTGATTGTTTTCTTACTCCATTCTCTCTTATGCATTTCATGTTACAGTGGCTGGGAAAAGAGTAGGCAGTTCTGCCTGGCCCTGGCACAACAGAGAGATTATTTACACCAGGTATTTCAACATATTAGTTCAGTAAGGTAGGAAAGGCAACATTAGAAGTCATCCGTTTGTCTGTACGTTCTGCAGTGAGAGGCAGGTAAATCCACACAGTGATTAAATGCATCTTGAATTAGCTGCCTGAAGCGAGGGAGAGGAAATACTCCAGCGTACACAAAACTCAGCCTGAATATTCCAATCCAAAATGGCACACTTCAGGGTTTTTTACATTTTTCATTTTATATTAGCAAGGTAGAACTAAGTACAGTGTATTTATGCTTCATCTCTTGCCCTTTTTTTGGTTTCATATATAATAGGGAAATGACCTATCTAAGAAATCTGATTTCTCTACTTTTATATACGAAAGGCTTAAACCACTCCTTAATTTAATTTAAGTTTGAAACTGGGGAAGGGGAAGAATTCTAATCCCCACTTCTGTAATTATTTTAGCATTTTATTCAATTACTCCTTAATAAAAATTAACTTTTAGGGCTCTTACCCATGAGGTGAATGTTGTAACTGTTCAGCTCACAAAGGCACTACAGATACACACCAGTCCTGTCCTTTGTTTCTCCTCCTTCTCTGCAAATCTTAACTGCTTTGTTACACAGCAGTAGAGCATTAGGGAATGGACTCCAGTCACATGCTGAACACTACATGCCTCCAGCAGGCTGGAACGTCAAATGCCTGGGCATCAAGTGGGATTAGGCAGCAGTTTGCCATTTCAAAGCACCTTAGCTCCCAATTCCTCTGCTGGATGATTTCCTTTGTCTCCTCTGATTTTTTTTTTCCTCAATTTTGCCACACAAAGAACAAATGAATTAATGAAATGAAAGGTTCTAACATTTTTCAAACAAGTAACTGGGTAACTACAGAGAGAGGAAGATTATCATGAACCATCAAATACATTTTTCAACATGGAACTTCAGGGAAGCATTAAGTTCTCTTGATTGTCATAATATTGCTCATCTGAATTAAATCTGACATGTAGATGGGTAAATTTCTCTCATAAAGCTAAAGGTTAATGTCATAACCACAGAACAAGGCAAGGGCCGATGAATATGTGAAGCCTTTGGGTGAAACTCACTCTAACTCAGTAAAATTTAGGATGGAATTATTCCTTACAATTTCCCACAAAGGAAACCAACTGTGCCCATAGACCTGTGAGCCTTAACATCACTAGTCTCATGCTAATCATTTTAATAAATTTTAATCTGAGGACACATTATGAGTAAGCAATAAGGACTATTCCAGCTAATTTATTGTGCTTACTCATGTTTTCTCAAATGACTACCTTGTACCTTTCATTTGACAACATGTCTTTTCTGTCCAGATTGCCATTAGAATTTTCACACTCTGCTGCTAACAAGTGTTTATGCCACTGTCAGCAGTGTTTGTTTACACCAGAGTGCTGGTGCTAAATGGTCAAAATGACTTGAAGACGATTTCAGAGTCTTTATCTGCTTTTAATTAGACATGTTTCTTACTTGGCCCTTCACTTTTGGCAAGCAAAATAATAAACAGTACCTATTATGGAAACTCAATTTCAATATATTGCTGTAGTTCTATCTTTTTTAAACAAATTCTACCAGAGAGAGCACTTTCTACCCACTAACTTGTATATTTTAATGCAATGCAAAATATAAGAAAAATCCCAGGGAAACTGAGATTAAAAACCACAACGAAAATGTTACTGTTTGCATAATGGTTTTCAAACTGAAAAACCTCTGAGAAAACTTTGCACTATTTCATTTTCTTATTTCCTTCATTTTTCTGTGATGTACAGAAATTTTGATGCAAATCCTGATTAGCATATTTTCATTAAAGACCATAACTGGAATTAAAGACTACCTTGGAATGCCATTTCCTTTCTCTGTTCTTTTAGAAACTATGTGAATGACCAAGCAGCTCTTCCATCTCTATAATAGAAAATCAGTAAGGCTTTGTTGTCTTAAGCAAAAAAACATGCTCAGTACTTTACAGTGACTCTTCACTAATTCAGTGAGTCCTGCATTTGCTCTTATGCTTGAATTTCTTTTTTTCATCCCAAGTGCATAATCAGGGATGCAAGTAAACTGAGATTAATGGACTAGTTCAAAAAGGAAGTTTTTTGCTGCCTATGTTTTTATACACACTCCAGGGTGAAGAGAAATATTTTATACTAGTAAAAAACGAAAAAATTAGCACTACTAAGATGCAAATAAGGCTTTCCTTATTCACTGAATACTTAGGAAGAGATTTTGCAGGAACTTTGTCTCGATAAAGATTATCATCTACTTAAACAAGTGACTGGGAAGATCGAAAAACATCTTGTATTTGGAAGACAAGCAGAAAGTAGGGTCTATGTCCCACAAAAGACTAGGCTGAAGTGAAGCAAGTGAATGAAGAAAAGAAATCCATCCCAGTCAAGAGGTATGACATGAAAGGACAAAGAGCCCAGCTCTGCTCCATATAGATGAAGGCTAAAAGGCCTCATCAAATCTTTCAAGGTAAATAGGAACTGTGCTTTTTCTTGATTTACTTTTTAGCTAAGAAAACAAAAGGAAAAGTGAAATATTTACATGCTTGGCTATTCTTTACTCACTCCACTGGAGGCTCCTCTCTTTGAGCTGATTCCTGGAAGTCGGCCAAGGGTCCTACTGACAGTCATCAGTTAAACTCAGACACAATTCACACTTGATGCTCTCAAGATCCTGTGATGTGAAATGTTTAGAGGTATAACCTCTATCTAGTGATAAGTCACTAACACTCTAACCTGTCCAATATCTGTCTTCAACTGGCCTTTGTTCTGACTGGTTTTATGTTTGTTTTATGACAGATCATATTTTATGAACTTATTAATTTATTTCAGAATCCATTTAGCTATTTAGAATCTATTTATCTGTTTAAAAAAAAACAATTAGGAGACTGAAAAAAGTAAATACAAATGTAAAGGTCATGCACACTTCCTCAAATGTTCATGCATAAAACATGGTTCATTCTATGGAAAAATGCTGAAAGGCATTTCTTAAACTTGGAGGGTGCCACTTTGCTCTGAACAACAGCATGGACAGAGATGTACTGTCATAAAAAAGGGGATATGCAACACAGAAATGCCATTACAGTTCTAAATATTGTTCGCTTTTAATTACAGGATTCATCTGAAAAAGAGCCCAAAATACATGTAATAAAGGCCATACAGGAAGTGTTCCATCCACCACAAAAACATAAAATGTTCTGCCACCAGTTTAAAGTGACAGAAGGGACACTTCCAAGAACATAATCCCCTTCTGTGTTCTCCTCTTCTCAAATACACAGTTTCTTTCCTCTGCTATGCTGTACTTAAAAGGACATTTTCATGGGGAAGCTGGACCCAGGACAGACAATGGTATCTTGGGGTACATTGGAGGAGTGTGGCCAGCAGGTAAAGGGAGGTGATCCTTTCCTTTCTACTCAGCCCTAGTGAGGCCACACCTGGAGCATTGTGTTCAGTTCTGGTCTCCACAGTTCAAGAAAGACAAGGAGCTACTGGAGAAGGCCCAGAGGAGACCACAAAGATGATCAGGGGTGTGGAGTATCTCTCTTATGAGGAGAGACTGCAGGAGCTGGGCCTGTTTAGTCTAGAGAAGAGAAGACTAAGAGGGGATCTCATTAATGCAAATAAATATCTCAAAGGTGGGTGCCAAGAGGATGGTGCCAGACTTATTTCAGTGGTGCCCAGTGACAGGACGAGGAGCAATGGCCATAAACTAAAACATGAGAAGTTTCATCTCAACATGAGGAAGAACTTCTTTACATTGAGGGTGGCAGAGCACTGGAACAGGCTGCCCAGGGACGTTGTGGAATCTCTCTCTTTAGAGACATTCCAAACCCTCCCGGACGTGTACCTGTGTCACCTGCCCTAGGTGACCCTGCCTTGCTGGGGGTGGTTGGAGCAGATGATCTCCAAAGGTCTCTTCCAACCTTAATGATTCTGTGAAAACCATAGCCAAGATTTGTTCATACTAGCTGAACTGATACACTGGGTAATTTGTCTGACACATTTCTTTTTTGACACAGACATTCTTTGGTGAAATATTAAAGACACACAACCATATAAATTGGTACATTAAAAAAGAAAACATTTTGGTATTACTGTTTCTTACTTTTTGCCAAATTCTCTAAAGTTGGCCAAGAAAACAAGCCCTTTCACTTTCTATACTTAGGGTGTCACCATTCCCTTGTCTAATAGGGTCTGTGCACAGGTCAGAAGACTCATTCTCTTCCTGGTACTCCCAGACTTCTCTTGAACATGGAAGTTCAAGGCTAACTTCCACCACTCTCTGCTTTTACTTTCCTCTCTATAGAAAACTGGGAATAAACAAAAACCTCCCTGTAAAGCACTTGGAGGTACACAGCAATGACAGCTACAAGAGCACTTGGTATTGTCGAACAAAAATACATCTTCAGTAAAATTAAATAAAGAACATAAACAGAAATATTACTGTTTCAATTGAAAATGCTTAACACACACACTGGGCCCGTATGGCTCTGACACCACTCATTTAAATAAATAAGGCAGGGATCAAAGTCTTAAACAATTTTTACCTTTAATTTTAGAGAATTGAGTTTTTCCTCCCTCAGGTGCTCTCTCAACATCTCCCGGTGAAGCCTCTCCTGTTCCATCGCAAACTCTCCCAGAGTGTATTGGCGCACACTGTTGTGGCGAGTGGACATTCCCAGTGTGCTTCCCCCTTGGCTGGGAACACTGGTGAAGCCTTGCCTTCTCGTGAAGTAATACACAGTAACACAGTTAAAATGGACATTTTTTGTTCTCTTCCGCTTCTCTCTCTTCAGGATTGAAGACGCTGGAACAGGAGGAGATCATAGCATGAATAACTCGCAGTCGCACGGCAGAGGCGTTGAGGTAAAGTGACAGCACCTGACTGCCTACACATGCACAGACACTATATTCCAAGGTGTGCAGTCCAAATGAGGAGATAACTTTAGAAATATTTACCATCTATGCAAACCCAGAAGCCATTACAAACTTCTGCAATTGCAAACACCGTTGTCTACTTTGGAAGCGAAACTCTTGGCCAGGGCAGTTGCTTCCCATCACGTCATATTTTATCATTTTACCACAGAGGCAACTAAATCCCAGCCAAAGGAACTTCTTTCATAGTGTCACCACAGTGACCTAGGCTTGCACCTCTTCCAACCCCGTGAACAAAACAATGCTGCACCAGCCAGCAGTGAGAACTGCGGGTCCCACCCCTCACAGGTCTATGTACACTGCTGCCATCCTGCCAGCAAGGCAACATGGATCTGCAACTGCATCTCTGAAGCACTGGGTCACACTGACAGAAAAGATTCCTATCTCTTATAATCCAAACTGTGATAAATTAGTGTTATAAAAACTACAGCACTATGTTTAGTGTTTCATACTGTCTCAGAAATTCATACTGTTGTCATCGTCACCACTGAATGATATAGGAATAATGTTGTTTAGCAGTCAGACCCACTTCATTTTTCTTTACCTTCATCTTTCTTTCTGCTGCCATCTACTGAATACAAGTATGTATGTGTGTGTATATTCTAATGTGTAGGATGTTGACAAAAATGGTATCTAGTATTTTCTAATTATTTTCTGATTCCACTCACACTCATGCTCAGTTTTTCTTATACACATATGCAGTATCATATGAAACAAATTTGTTTAAAACCAAATGACAAATTTTAACTGTAAATATTCTTCTTTTTGTTCTACAGACACTTAGTAACTCCTTCCTACAATACTAATCTACTGTTTCTCACTGGTAACAATGGTGAGCCTGCACAGAAAAAAAACACACAAATGTTTGAGAAAGATAAGACATCACTTGATTTTTAAGATGAGCAGTCCAATTTATTTGATTTATTGCAAAATGGCAACAGGTTGTTGAGAATGCAGATAATAAGTCATTGCTTTGCAGTTTACAGGCAAGAACTGCAGGTGTGTGCAGGTGTGAAAGAGAGACCTCACTGCCAGGATTCAGGCAGTAAAATCATTTAAAGGGTGCCAGAACACTCTTGAATGGCTTGGAACTGTTCTATAAAAGCAATAAGAGCAACATGATGTGCACTGCTAATCTAAAATTGCACTGTCTCTAGAGATGGGAAGCACTTGGCCTTCAGCCTTGTTTTCATAACAGGTCTGGTTTATTGTCACAATTAAAACACGGTTCAGTCTCTAATATTATTATGTAGTGAAATGTTAATCACCACGCATGTAAATCCCCAAACTTCTACACAAAGTAATGCTGTCCAAAAAACCCAGCATAATCTACCTGACTGTAGGAAAATCAAGTATTTTAGAAAATACAGCCCTGTATCCAAATTACAGACAGTGTGTTCTACAGACATAACCACAGAACTCTTTGAGGCTCAGTGAAACACTGAAATAGTATTACTTCTCCTAAATACTAATAAGTGGCTAAAAGTATAGTTTATCATATAAATAACATGCATGCAGGTATGTTAGATTATAAATATAAAACATAAAAAAGATCAGGTCCTATATTCACTTACATGTTTTCCAGTGAAGGGTGTTCCCAAAAGCTGTAGGATGCAAATAGTGGAATCAAAAGACAAATTCTTTTACATTAGGCATGTTTAACTTACATGTAAACTCCACGACTAAGCAAATGTCATATCAACAGAGCCTGTCAAAAACATTTATAGGAAGCTTTTAGTGGGGAAGAGGATTATTTCGTTAGCAGAGACTAGCTGATAGGGGTGTGTCAATTTTGCATTATATTAAATATTGTTTTAATGTGCTGTTCTTTTTCATATATACCACAGTTTCAAAACAAAAGTACCTTTAATAAAACGAATTTTATAGCATTTGGAAGATGGGGTAATTTTGATACTGTGACATTCTTTCAATGTAGCATAAAAGCCAGTACTCTAAATCAGAACCCTCACTGCTATATGCTCTGTACATAGGGGAGTGCATATTAAAAAGTCCTTTTTCTGTTGAAGGAGGTACCTAAACCATTCTGGGGTGCATTCAATTTCTGATGTAACAGTATCAATGTTATTTGGATCTCACCTGGATGATGCCTCTATTTTGGAAGAAATACTGGCAGCTATTGAGACATATATATGTCATATATATGTCTCAATATATATGTCTCAATATGTCACATATATATGTCATATATATGTCTCATGAAGATATAGAAAGTAATTCTGTAAATTATACAAGCCAGTGTATATCCTTGAATCTTCCTCTGTAAACCTCAGTATCTATGATATAAAGTCTGTGTTTACAGTAATTTGGTTTATACCTTAGCTACGGAGCTCCTGACAGGGCTGCTTACTAGCGCGAATACCAAATGCTGCAGTAAAAGTACTCCTGTTTTTTAGAGTCTGTCAATCTCTTTATGGCAGAGATGCTACTTTCATACTAATTGCTATACATGAAGAAATGAACCTTCAGTTTTATTCAGAAACTACACACTAATATTAAATAAATGAAGCTAAGCAGAAGAGCCTGCAATCTAATTACTACCAGCTGAAAAAAAAAAGTTATCTATGATTAAAACTACATTACTAGCTTTCCACTATGTCAGTTTTTGCCCACCTGCGTGCTATGAAAATGCAGAACATGAATTTCATATATTGTCATATGTTTATGCCTAAAATTTGTCAGCAGTTTCTCAGTAAGACTGTAGTTGCTCATGAGCTGTCTTTGAGGAACCCACTAATGCATTTATAGTTCTTATCACTTTTAATAATTGAATTATCAGTGCCATACCATCGAAGTTGTTTGCTTGGTTGTTGGTTTTTGGGTTTTTTGTTTTTGTTTGTTTGTTTTGTTTTTTAATATATCACTGAGAAAAACTGTATTAAAGTACGATTGAACTGAAGTTCAAGAAAATGTTGGCATACTGTAATTGCACCATCAGCACCACTATAAATCCAGTATTGAAGACAGAACTGACATGCATTTGTTCTAAATGCCATTAAAGTTCATGATTTTATTTATTAATATTATAGTTCTGAGTCAGACAAATTCTATGATAATCTCTAAAGTTAAACATGAAAGTAAAAATTCATAGCCCTCAGAACACATGGGATTATTTTTTCTGAAACACATCCCATATTTTGAGTTTGCTTCTGTCTCACCCAGGAGCTCATTAAAGGGCAGAGCTAAGGCTCTGTGAAGAACCCCATGGTCATCTCTTGTATGCTACTGCTAGGAAGGAGTCAGAATATATTTGTATTTATAAGAAGAACAGATCTAGCAGGAACTGCAAAAGATTAGTGGATTTTATTTGATTACCCAAAAGCATAGATTAGAGATGTCAGCGAGGAGACGAGAGAACTGCAACCACCTCGGTAACCAAGGACACGAAAGGAAGCACAGTCAGCACCGCAAAGGCACTGTGCTCTTGCTCTATTATACTTACTAAAATCTCTGAGCAGAGGGGCTGCCTTAATGTGAGCTCAAAAGTAATATTAGATATTGAACAGAAATGTTGGACATTTTCCAACATCAGGGACAAAGTGCTCCACAACTCACTCAGTACATTTCCTTCAAGCCAACTAGAACTCAGATTCTCAGAGCATCTTATCAAGAGTCAGGGGCATATGTTATTTTGCATGCATTGTACCTTAAATAGTGTGTTCAAGTCAGCTGTAATTACTGCTAAGGACACTGCTTAACTCAAGACAGAGCAGAAGAACATACAAAATACATACGTTCTGTTATTAGAAAGCAGGAATTTACTATTATTATATTAGAAAACAAAATTTACTGGCATTAATCACTTAGTAAGCTCCACTCAGAATGAAGGACACGGACTGTGCAAGGCTTGCAGGCCTCTCTGGAGTCAGTTTCAAAGGTTTTGCAGGTAAGCCAAAGCTTGTAACCTATAAATTTATCCAGTGAGAGTCTAAACACTACAGTTTCCCAGAAGAGATCCAGTAATGGTTTGCTTGCTTGGCCAGTCTCAAAAAAGCATTTCCACGCCATCTGCCTGTGTAACAAGTGGAATCAGTGGATGCCACTATCATCTGTTCTGTACAAGGATGATAGTGACTCCAGGCAGAGGCTGTTAGGTGGAGAAGCAGATTTTCAGCATCTCTTGGACACACACTGTCAACACCAACTAGAAAATGGTTTTTGAAAATGAATGCCACCACTTTGGTGGGTGAGGATGCCAGAGGGAATAAAAATATTCATCACCACCTAAAACTGTCCAATGGATCACAGATGATACTTAACACATTTATATATTACAAGTCTGATATATTCCATGGAATGAAACAAATGCTCCATTCTCATGTATTTTAACATTTAATACAATTTTTAGTTCCATGTTTCAAGATCATACGGAGTTAAATATTTTTGACAGATACACAAGTATTGTAATTCATAAAACATACCAATAATCAGAGGGATGGAGGATAGCGTTAAGAACATGACTACCAGTACAGAACTGTCGTAAGTCCTATCTGAAATTATATCAACTACTGAATTTTTGATTTTTGGCATTTGACATTTGAGTGGCTCCATTTCTGGATTAAGCAGAGCTCAAGTTAATAACCTGCTTGCACCTGGCCTTGCTCCTCACAGAGTCAAGTCAGGTCCTGCAGGATTATCAGCTCCTTGCCATGCACAGGCAGCTGCTGCAGAGTCAGGGCTGTTATCTGGCCACAGCACTCGACCCACAGCACAGGCATCTGCACCACAAACCATCTACGGCAAAAATGGGAATTGTATGCAAACAAAATTCCTAAAGGTGAGCCCAAAATAGTTAAAGGAAAGCTTTTAATAGCAAACCAGTGTTTAACACCGAAGTGTGGTTAACCCAGCCTGGAAACACAACCTGCTCTTTGTGCTTTCCCTTTAGCTCTCTTTGTTCACGAAGCGCCTGCACAGACACACAAGAGGATGAGTTTACTCATTTTTTCTCAGTTGTTAACCTCTCTCCCTCATAACAATTCCCTTTATCCACAGTAGTTATAATTTATTCCATGACTGCACATATTTCTGTCATTTCTCTTTATGCAAAATTCCTGCCTACAGACTTCTCTGGCTATTGAGCACACAAGGAAAATCTAACGTTTCCAAAATTTAAGAATATCTGTATGGTGAGCCCGGGACCTGCAGAATGGCACAGTGCCTAAGCACTACATACTGGACTTTTGTGTTACAGCAAGATCCTTTTTCAGTCATTGACTGTAATACAGAGTAGAGATAAATGTTCAGCAGTCTATCAAGAAACTGAGATTTCAGTGATTTATTCATAAGGTTGCACACAAACATCATTATGGTTTTTATCACAGGTGATAAATTACACACATAGTTGAAGACCATCTCCCACACTGGGACACTAAGTCATAACCTTTATTAACACTATTCTTATTAAAAGGGTTGCAAAATAAAATGGTAACCTTTCACCTACCAAAAAGTACAGTTTTTATCTCCCAGTGGCTAACAGTAATGGAATATAAGATGGTTTACCAGAAAAAATAAGTGTTTCTCAGATTATTTTTTTTTCAGTCTCTGGGTGCTTGATCAAATACATTAAATGGATTTTTCCAAAACACAGTGTGTCCTGGGTGAAACATGAAGCCCCACTGATCCACTTTTCAAAGATACTCTAAAAATAAAACTTTAATGTCCAAATTGAAGAAAGTATCAGTGTAAAAAAAGAAAATACAGCTATCATGAAAATAACAATAGACTTAAAAAAGGCTGCAATTCAGCTTCCATGGCTGCTTTTCCTTCTTACTGCTGTCTCATGTAAGTCTCCATCACAATGACAATTAATGGGAAAAGGGAAAATATTACAAAGAGTGGTTTAACAATAAAACGTCCCTGTCAGATTCATCCTGGCTAAAGTATGTTGTACAAAGCATTGATCTGTGCTGGAATGCTGTCACCAAACAAACACAGCAAGTGAGGATTTGGAACAAGAGTCCTCAGAGAAGAAGCTAAGGAAAAATGGGAGCCATTCACATCACGTGAGGTTAGAGAATACAGAAAGGCCCTTGTTCATCAACACTTAATAAAAGAGAACAAAGTAATTTATATGGCAGAAAAGTTTAAACACACATCTAGAGGAATGTATTCCTGTAGGAATAGACAAAGATGAAGAAAGATACAGCAATACACTGATTTGTAACAAATAAGTGTCAGTATTTTTGCAGTATATTTTAATGTAACTAGAACACTACAGTTAGAGACTGTCTCCTTAGTGCCACAATTATATGGAAGAAAACAGATGGTTGCCATCACCTTATTCCTACCAACAACCTCATAATGGTACGATTTTCTGCACTTACCTTCTGTATTGCAAGCAAAAATTATCACTGTATGTAGTACTAGGGACTGAAGAATTTCTTCATTAATTCATTTTTTTACAGCTCTGTAACTTCTGAAATTGTGTGCCTTTCTTTCCCCTTCCTACCTACATCAGGATATTTTGAAAGCATAGAGTGGAGAGATAGAAGCAGAGATTCCTACTGCCCTCTGCACATGAGGCTGAACTGTTTATCCCCCTTGTCCCATCCACGGCAGCCAACCAGGCTGGGAAGTCCCAGCT